TTTTCAAAACTCACTGGCACTTCCTAGTTACATATGTATGTAGGGGAAAAAGAATGGATGAATTTCTTAGGACTGATTACATATTTTTTTACTAAAGCTTCTTTATTTACCATTTAGTTACCAAGAATTACTAAGTATCACCAGTAGCTGCAATTAATTATTTGTGTGATATTTAAATGATTATAGCATAGTTCATTGAATGTAAATTTTACAAAAATGCACTTTTCATATGTTGTTAACAATTTTCTTTAAAACTACCCATATGTTGTTAACAATTTTCTTTAAAACTACCCATATGTTGTTAACAATTTTCTTTAAAACTACCCATATGTTGTTAACAATTTTCTTTAAAACTACCCATATGTTGTTGACAATTTTCTTTAAAACTACCCAAATGTTGTTAACAATTTTCTTTAAAACTACCCAAATGTTGTTAACAATTTTCTTTAAAACTACCCAAATGTTGTTAACAATTTTCTTTAAAACTACCCATATGTTGTTAACAATTTTCTTTAAAACTACCCAAATGTTGTTAACAATTTTCTTTAAAACTACCCAAATGTTGTTAACAATTTTCTTTAAAACTACCCAAATGTTGTTAACAATTTTCTTTAAAACTACCATAATGTTGTTAACAATTTTCTTTAAAACTACCCAAATGTTGTTAACAATTTTCTTTAAAACTATTGTATATGTTCAAGGAGATATGTAGGATTCATTGTAAAAAAAAACATCATCATGAGATGCTATTTCAAAATAGTAATAAGGCCAAACAATCAGTGTCTTTCTTAAGTTTTGTTCCATTGTTTCATGTCCTCTTCCTGTTTTTTCACACAAAGGAAAAAATAGTAAAAGAAATATTGTAATTTGTAATAAGAATGAGAAATAGTTACAAAAAAAAATCAGTGGAAGTTCTTTGTTCAGCAGTTATATTATTAACTTAAAACCTATTGAATTTGTGTAATGGATCTGCCCAGCTTTTGAATTTGGAACAGTTCATTCAAAGTTTAAGGGATGTCAGTATCAAAATACAAAAGAATGAACAACGTACAGTATAGAACCTGGTCAGACTGCATGGATATGCTGGCAAGTCTGGATCTATATTGGTGGTAAAGGCTGATCAATTTTGGTTCTAGCTGTCAGTCTTGGTTCCAGCAGTAAAAACGTTAATTAGGCCGTGCCATGACAAAATCAACATAGTGTGTCTGCGACCAGCATGGATCCAGACCAGCCTGCGTATCCGCGCAGTCTGATCAGGATCCATGCTGTTTGCTTACAAACCCTATAACAAATAGAGAAACTGATAGCGAACAGTATGGATCCTGATCAGTCACTGCGCGGAGGCGCAGGCTGTTCTGGATCCATGCTGGTCGCAAACCCGCTATGTTGGTTTTGTCGTGACGTGGTTCAATTATTAAGGAAGTAAAGGTAACGACAGGGAAGTATGTATATATTTAGGCGTGACATCTACATTTACTAATTATAGGAGTATAACATATATGGGAGGTTTTTGATTGTTTATACATCTAGGGAAGAATGAGTAGGAGGTCAAGAATTCCTACCATGTTAAGTTGTATTTCTATAATTATGGTTTCTTTTCTATTTGTGTATAAAAGTATTTACTAAATGAATTAAGTGTAACTGTAGTAGTATATGTAACAAGCTGACTACTGTTTTATAGTAGTGTTTTCTCATGGTTTTAAATTTCCCACAATTAAACAATGGATGTTGTACAATATATGTTATATATTTCACTTGCTGAATGATATTTTCATTATTGGTTTATGTGTTGCTATTTTGATTATATTAAAAGGCTATGGATTATAGAAATGTGATGGAAATAAATATTTTACCACCAAAAGAGGTTGTGTATTCATTTGACTTTCTCTCTCAGATTGCTATTATTTGTTATGTCTAGGTTTGGCAAGTTATTTAAAGTATCATAATAATAACTTATCTTACAGACATGTGAAGATCCCAGGTTTCAGACTTATTAATTTTGAATTCATAAATTTTATTAGAGATTGCATTGTTAATGATACAGTTTCATGTAAAGAAAAAAGGAAAGAGTATTCAAATACATGATTGAAATCAAATTTGACTTATCCATGAGACAGGTGAAACAACATTAGCTTGCACAATACCTATTTTTATACTGCTTTGATGTCTTCTGTAGAGAAAAAGGAGGAAATGTTTAATTAAGTTCATTCTCCAAGGGAAAAATTTCAGATTTGAGAATGTTGGTGGGCAGCTTGGTGTAAACAGTTCCTTCTTGTACAACTTCTTCTTGTATATTTCTCAAGGGCTTTTTTAACCAAATATTCACAGGTCTTTTGGACTGTCAACATATTTGTTTGATCAGTTTTTGACAGAGTTACCCTTAGTTGTTGTTGTTGTTGCTCATATGTAGTTAATAGAGGAAAATTTTAATGTTTACAAGAGGTACAAGTTAATAAGTGGTTTATGTGAACTGTATATTTTCAAGTGGTCTATGTTATTAACTATAGGCCTATGTTGTTAACAAGTGGTCTATGTTGTAAATAGTGTCTTATGTTGTTAACAAGGGGCCTAAATTGTTAACAAGTGGCCAATGTTGTAAACAAGTGGCCTACATTGTTAACAAGTGACTTATGTTGTTAACAAGTGGCCTACATTGTTAACAGGTGACCATGTGTTGTAAACACATGGCCTACATTGTTAACAATGGCCTATGTTGTTTATAAGTGGCCTACATTGTCAACAAGTGGCCTACATTGTCAACAGTGGCCTCTGTTGTTTATAAGCAGTCTATGTTGTTAACAAGTGGCCTAATAGTATATTGTTTATAAGCTGCCAATGCTGTTAACATTAGTTGCCAATGTTGTTAACATGAGTGGCCTATAATGTTGCTAACAAGTGTTAAACATTGTTCACAAGTAATGTATGTTGTTTTACAAGTTGTCTGGTGTTTTTGCATCTTGTCAATGATTGTTTACAAGTGGTCTATTTAACAAGTCAAAAGTGCCATTCTATGTTTCAAGATTAATTTCTAAAGGTTTACAGCTATAGCACGCAAAACGTTTTAAGAAAAATTAACAATACAAACACATTGTTTTCACATTCCATGTCAAAAGGGTTTTACCAAGAAAATGTTTCTGTTTCTTAAATATTCCCATGAATTATACAAGATAACAAACATATACCTTCCCTAATATTCAATACTATTTTTAGCAGGTTAGCGTGTACCAGCTTCATTAAAAATTAAAAAGAAAATCTTCAATTTTGATGCTTAAGTAGAATTTTTTTCTAGATACAAACAAATAGTCCACTGAATGCAGCTCAATATCTTTATAGGCTTTAAGGCATTCCATCTTTCCTTACCTTATTTATGTCTATTCTAATGGAACTTAGGAACTAGGAATAAAGAAACCCTTACATGTGTAATGGAATTGCCAAGTTTTCAATTTAGAACAGTCCATTCAAAGTGTAAGGGATTTCAATATGAAAAAACAAAACTTGAGCTACCAACCAGTATAGAGCCTGGTCAGACAGCACAGAGGTACAAGCTGACTTGGTACCATATTGGTGGTAAATGTTTATACAGTCTCAATACAGTTCCAGTGTTTATACATTTTTATGGTTCAAGCAAGTTATTGGTTTATATAAATATGCATTGTTATGTAAATGTGATACATTTTAAGGGAATATTAATTGACTTCCTCTTGAGCTGCTCAGACACATTTACACCTTGTAACAGATCAGTCCTAATGTAACGAGAATATAATTTCCTCAACATTCGATCTCTCGTGAATGGGAATATAATTTCCTCGGCATTTATTTCTAGTCTGTTTCTTGCATTTCTTAGAAAGATGTTACATTTGTAATTTATTTTCCAGGTTATCTGCATTAAAGTATATATGTAGTTTATGTAATCATCATTCAATTTATTCAGCATCACTGATTGTCTGCCAATTCCAGAATATGTAAAAGCTTACGTTATTCCACGCAAGACAGTCCTACAAAATACTTGCGCTTCACTCCTGCTTGGTATTTATCATGTAATTCGCCAGTGCCGTTTCGTTGAAATCGGTAGCATGGTGCACTTGAGAACTAAAATAGCAACAGTTATGTCAGATATAGAAACTGGTATTTGTTAAACATCTGCCTCGGCTGAGAGTATCATCATAATAATAAAAAAAGTAGAACATTACGATGGCATTATGTTATGTAAAACTTAAAATATGCGATGCTTATATTGTCAGGTAACAACATGTCTCAAGTGATTTTAACTCCTTTACAAGAGCTTTTAGCAATTTTGAAAAAAAAGTTTTATTGTATGCATTTATTTTTATGTATGGATTATGAAAGTATTGATGTTGTGTCTGGCAGATCAGGTGTACTGAACGTGATGGAGTTTCTAATTTACTTATTATCATTTAGACATTTACCCAGTACTTAGGCTTTGCCACCAGTATAGAGCCAGGCCAGCCTAAACATCCATGAAGTCTGTGTTTGCTGAGTACTTTAAATGTTCATTTGTATATCATTGATAATGGGATAGGCAGCTCCAAAAATGGAAGCTTGAAAAGTCCATTAAAGAAATTCAGAAAATGAATATATTTTACAAGAGTTGTTAATGTATAATCTTCAAGTTTGAAAGATGAAGGGGTCATTGTTCTCAAATTTGATAAAAAAAAATTTCGATGTCAATAATGGTAAAGACTTTGATAATGCAGTTGCCATTCTTTATAGTTCTAATGTTGGTAGTCAATGAAAGACTGTTGTTTATGGTTGAATGAGTGACCCTTATACTAATTGAATATTAATCACTTTTTGCACAATTATTAGAGGACATATTGATTGATGATCTTACAGTTCTTAGGGTGAATAGGTCAAAGGTCATGGTTACGATGACCATGCTTCTGAAAATAGATTTCGCTTTAATACATGTGCAATAGTTCTTTCCTACAACTCCTTTGGGTGGAAGCAAAAATTGATGGTATGCATTGTATATATTACAGGACCTACAGAAGTTACGGACAGAAGTTGACAGTGTGTATCGTTCCCTACGTTATATAAAAGCTGTGATAGATCAAGAGAAGCTACAAATAGTTCCAAACACGGCAACAGTTGTCCTGGATACCGTGAATGATGTCTTCCTTATACTCAACAGCTTCTTTATGACTCAAGACAGGTAGAAACATAACTGTAACACACTTTTCTGTGAAATAATGCCAGCTGTAATACTACATCATGTTATCTGTCACTTTAGATCTCCACACTGTAGATACAGGTTGACAAACTTTAACATCTGTTACATGTTTTACTATGTCAATGTGTTAACATTATTTAAGAATGTCATACAGTCAATAAGACTCAGTATGTTAACAATAGTTAAAAGGGTCAGTTAATATGATAACATTAGTAAAGAGAGTCTCTCAGTATGTTAACATAAGGTACAAGTCACACTCAGTATGTTAACATGAGTAAATTTACAGTATCAAATCAATATGTTGACATATGCTGAGAATGTCATAGTTATTATCATAATGATTATGTTAAAATTAGGTAAGAGTGCCAGTAAATATGTTGACATCATTAAGAGAGTTAAGATTTGTAAACACTGTTACAAATATGTTAACATTTGTTTGGAAATGTTACAGACAATATGTTAACATTTGTGTAGAATGTTACAGGCAATATGTTAACATTTGTGTAGAATGTTACAGGCAATATGTTAACATTTGTGTAGAATGTTACAGGCAATATGTTAACATTTGTGTAGAATGTTACAGGCAATATGTTAACATTTGTGTAGAATGTTACAGGCAATATGTTAATATTTGTGTAGAATGTTACAGGTTATATGTAGAGTGTTACAGACAATATATTAACATTTGTGTGGTGTCATAGGGAACATATTAACATGTGCGAACAGGCAATATTGTAATATTTGTGTAGTTTAACAGGGAACATGTTAACATTTGTGTTTAGTGTTACAGACTCTATGTTAACATACAGAATAATTCTATAATTACAGCTCATCATTGACATCTCGACATAATAAAGTATGTCAGAGTTTAGCACATTTTATAAAGTGGGCAGATGATCTTCTGCTACATGGTCATAAAAGCATGATCAACAAAGACAATGCTCATCAGCTGATTACTTCACTTACAGATGGCATGGAGGTATGGCTTACTATTTCTTTACATAATTAAAGGTGAATAGGTCAATTAAAGTACTGTATATCAGATTAATTTGATGCATGGCATATTTGTTAATTTGGCAGTAACCTAATTTTTAACCAGGTTTTCTAAAAGGAAAAAACTGGTTATTAGATTGAGGTATGTCGGCGGGCGGGCGGATGGGCGGGCGGGCGTAAACAATTTCTTCTGTGCGCAACTCCTCCTACATTTTTCAACGGATTTTGACCAAACTTTCACAGAAGCTTTGTCATCAAGTGACCTGGCGCATATTGTCGGGGTTTTGTGATTGGATAATATTTGACCTAATTATGGCCCTTTGTTTTTTTTTCCTTATATAGAATATATAGTGAATAATTTCTTCTGTACCCAACTGTTCCTACATTTCTCAATGGATTTTGACAAAACTTTCACAGAGGCTTTGTCATCAAATGCCCTGGCGCATATTGTCAGGGTTTTGTGATTGGATAATATTTGACCTAATTATGGCCCTTTGTTTTTTTTCCCAGTATAGGATATATAGTGAACAATTTTCTGTGCGCAACTCCTCCTTCATTTCTCAACGGAATTTGACCAAACTTTCACAGAGGCTTTGTCATCAAGTGCCTTAGGGCATATTGTCAGGGTTTTGTGATTGTATAATATTTGACCTAATTATGGCCCTTTGTTTTTTTTCCTTATACAGATTATATAGTGAACAATTTTTACCATGCACATTTTCTCCTACATTTCTCAACAGATTTTGACCAAACTTTCACAGAAGCTTTGTTATCAAATGCCCTGGCGCACATTATTGGGGTTTTGTGATTGGATAATATTTGACCTAATTATGGCCCTTTGTTTTTTTTCCTTTTACAGATCATATAGTGAACAATTTTTATCATGCGCAACTTCTCCTACATTTTGCAACAGATTTTGACCAAACTTTCACAGAGGCTTTGTCATCAAGTGCCCTGGCGCACATTAATGGGGTTTTGTGATTGGATAATATTTGACCTAATTATGGCCCTTTGTTATTTTTCCTTATACAGAATATATAGTGAAAAAAATTTTCTGTGCTGAACTCCTACATTTCTCAACGGATTTTGTTCAAACTTTCACAGTAGCTTTGTCATCCAGTGCCCTGCCGCCTATTGTCGGGGTTTTGTGATTGAATAATTTTTTATTTAATTATGGCCCTTTGTTTTTTTAGCTCACCTGTTACAAAGTGACAGGGTGAGCTTTTGTGATCGCTTTTCGTCCGGCGTCCGTCCGTCGTCCGTCCGTCCGTCCGTAAACTTTTACTTTAAATGACATCTCCTCATAAACCACTAAGCCAATTTCATCCAAACTTCACAGGAATGTTCCTTTGGTGGTCACCTTTAAAAATTGTTCAAAGAATTTAATTCCATGCAGAACTCTGGTTGCCATGGCAACCGAAAGAAAAAACTTTAAATATCTTCTTTTGAAAAACCGTAAGAGCTAGAGCTTAGATATTTGGCACGAAACATCTTCTAGTGAGTGTCTACCAAGTTTGTTCAAATAAAATCCCTTGGGTCAAAATTGGCCCCGCCCCGGAGGGTCATTGATTTTCCTTATATACATATAGTAAAAACTTAAAAAATCTTCTTTTAAAGAACCCAAAGAGCTATGGCTAAGATATTTAGCATCAAACATGTTCTAATAGGTGTCTACCAAGTTTGTTCAAATAAAAGCCCTGGGGTCTAAATTGGCCCCGCCCTGGGGGGTCATTGATTTTCCCAATATGCATAAAGTAAAAACTTAAAAAATCTTCTTTTAAAGAACCAAAAGAGTTAAAGCTAAGATATTTAGCATGAAACATGTTCTAATAAGTGTCTACCAAGTTTGTTCAAATAAAAGCCCTTGGGTCAAAATTGGCCCCGCCCCGGGGGGTCATTGATTTTCCCCTATATACATATAGTAAAAACGTAAAAAATCTTCTTTTAAAAAACCATAAGAGCTAGAGCTTAGATATTTGGCATGAATCATCTTCTAGTGAGTGTCTACCAAGTTTGTTCAAATAAAAGCCCTGGGGTCAAAATTGGCCCCGCCCTGGGGGGTCATTGATTTTCCCAATATACATATAGTAAAAACTTAAAAAATCTTCTTTTAAGAACCAAAAGAGCTACAGCTAAGATATTTAGCATGAAACATTTTCTAATGGGTGTCTACCAAGTTTGTTCAAATAAAAGCCCTGGGGTTAAAATTGGCCCGCCCCGGGGGTCATTGATTTTCCCTATATGCATATAGTAAAAACTTAAAAAATCTTCTTTTAAAGAACCAAAAGAGCTAGAGCTAAAGATTTTTAGCATGAAACATGTTCTAATAAGTGTCTACCAAGTCTGTTCAAATAAAAGCCCTGGGGTCAAAATTGGCCCCGCCCCGGGGGGTCATTGATTTTCCCTATATGCATATAGTAAAAACTTAAGAAATCTTCTTTTAAAGAACCAAAAGAGCTAGAGCTAAGAAATTTAGCATGAAACATGTTCTAATGGGTGTCTACCAAGTTTGTTCAAATAAAAGCCCTGGGGTCAAAATTGGCCCCGCCCCGGGGGATCATTGATTTTCCCTATATGCATATAGTAAAAACTTAAAAAATCTTCTTTTAAAGAACTCAAAGAGCTATGGCTAAGATATTGAGCATCAAACATGTTCTAATAGGTGTCTACCAAGTTTGTTCAAATAAAAACCCTGGGGTCAAAATTGGCACCGCCCCGGGGGTCATTGATTTTCCTTATATGTGTATAGCCAAAACTTAAAAAATCTTCTTTGAAAAAACCCAAATAACTAGAGTTAAGATATTAAGCATGAAACATCTTTTAGTGAGTGTCTACAAAGTTTGTTCAAATAAAAGACCTGGGGTCAAAATTGGCCCCGCCCGGGGGGTCATTGATTTTCTTTATATGTGTATAGCAAAAACTTAAAAATCTTCTTTGAAAAAACCCAAATAGCTAGAGTTTAGATATTAAGCATGAGACATCTTCTAGTAAGTGTCTACAAAGTTTGTTCAAATAAAAGCCCTGGGGTCAAAACTGGTCCGGCCCCAGGGGTGTCATTGTTTTTAACTATATGTGTATAAATCTTCTTTCAAAAAGCCAATGAGCTAGAGCTTAGATGTTTAGCATGAAACATCTTCTTATGGGTGTCTACCGAGTTTGTGCAAATAAAAGCCCTTGGGTTAAATTGGCCCTGCAACGTTGGGGGTGGGTTGGGGTTTGGGGGCCTATATACAGGTGAGCGACCTCAGGGCCATCATGGCCCTCTTGTTTCCTTATACAGAATTATGAGAATATAATTATATATAGTGAACACTTCCTCTGTGGCAATTCCTCCTACATTATTCATGTTTTACATTGCACATAGTTACATTGTTTGTTGCTTGTATTTGTATTTCAAATACAACATATTTATCTACAATGGTGATAATTTTTGAAAACCTGGTTTCATGGCATTGCCATGTTTCTTGTTCTTTATGTCCGCATTTTTCTTTTCTTCTAATATTCTCAGTGACACTGAAGATGTAAACTGAGTAATTTACAAGTAATCAGTTTTCCTTTCAGTTACATGTAAATAGGTATATCCTTGATATTTCACACCTTATTGTCTCGTAATCTTGAAAATTGGTAAGTTATAACAAGAATATTGGTATATAGTAAAATGAAAATAGGTATGTTATAACATGAATATTTGTGTATAGTAGCATGAGTACTGGTGTATTATAACATGAATATTGGTATGTAATTACATGAATATTGGTATATTAAAACATGAATATTTGTATATAATTACATGAATATTGGTATATAATTACATGAATATTGGTATATAATTACATGAATATTGGTATATAATTACATGAATATTGGTATATAATTACATGAATTTTGGTATATAATTACATAAATTTTGGTATATAATTACATTAATATTGGTAATATATAATTACATAAATTTTGGTATATTAAATTACATGAATATTGGTATATAATATAATAAGTAACATGAATTTTGGTATATAATAACATGAATATTGGTATTTCAGGAGTTGTACCAGATATGTCTAGATAAGTGGGAGGACAGACGTAATCACACCTCACCCCAAAAATCCCCTGCTCCAAGGTCACCAGGTCCTAACAGTCCAAGGTAACTTACCTTCTCTTACAAAATTAATTATGTTAACACCCTATACATTGTACTAAGAGCTGTACTACTCACCCTGTGGTCCAAGTCCAGAATTTAACTTATTTAACAGAAATATAATTTTTGTGTTGCCTCTACGGAGTAGTGGCGACATATAGGGATCATTTCTCCGTCGTCTGTCCATCCGTCCGTCACAAAACTTGTCCGAACTACTCCTCATAAAGTACTGGTGGTGCAATTTCATCCAAACTTAACAGGAGCGATCAGTACCAAGTATAGTTGGGCGTATCATCAGCATTTTTCGGTTCAATTAGTTTTGTCCGATAAATGGCACTTTAATAATTAATATTTTTATATTTGTCGGGACTACTCCTGTTATACCACTAATGCAATTTTAATAAAACTTTACAGGATCGATCTGTAGCTCAAGTCCTTGCGCATATGGCAAGGGTTTTCCTGTTGAATGATTTTTTGGCCGAGTTATGGCCCTTTGATAAAAAGGTGTTTTTTTCTGTGTGTTGCCAGATACACAAAAGCTTGTCCGGACTACTCCTCATAAACTACTGGTGCAATTTCATCCAAACTTTACAGGAATGATCAGTACCAAGTATATTTGTGCATTGTTCGTCTGTCTGTCCAGCTGTCACAAAACTTGTCCCAACATGAAATTGGCCATCATGAGGCGACACATGTGATCACTGATCGCTCTTGTGTTCTTTTGCTGGCCACGGGGTTTGAGTTTTTTAGAATCATTGAATGTTAACCTCCTACTTTTTTAAATCCAAAAACCCTTTAAAAATTGGTCAAAAAGATTTTTTTTGATGATTTTTTTTGGAAAAAAATTTTTTAATATGGGTAAATTTGGGGTCAAAATTTTAGGTCACACACCCCCGGATTTTGGAAAAACCCTTTGGGTTCTTTTTTGGGTTTGAAAAAAACCCTTTAAAAAATTGGTCAAAAAAGGTTGTTTAAAGTTTTTTTCAAAGTCAATTTTGGGAATTTTTGGAAAAAAAACTGGTCATACACCCGAAATAAAATCCCTATTAAAGCCTGCATGAACGGGAAAAGGGATAAAAAGGGGCCCATGGTTGCTCTCTTTTTTTTTATTGTGCCCTTTTTGAAAAATGTTAACCCCTTTAGGGCTAAATTTGAATGTAGCATAAACATTTAGGGTACTACACAAGAATGTTTTCAAACATTTGAGCAATCTTTACTTTGAAATTAAATTTTAAATTTTACAAATGGTATTTTTATTAATAAATTTCCCAAGGTCATGTTTTTTTGAAATTTTTACAAAACCTCCCAACTTTCTTTTAAACCAGTTACCCTTCCCCTTAAGGGCTATATAAAATTGTATGTTTTTACCTAAAATTTCCCCCAATGATTTTTCGGGTTTAAATGGTCCTTAATTTTTTTTATTTTCCCAAAAAATTTAGATAAAAGTTTAAAAATGTTAATTAGTTTCCCTGAATGAAAAAAATACAAAATTTTTTCATATAAAGGGAATCAAAATTGCGCTAGCCTACTAAAAAGGTTGGTGGTTCTACATATTTGGGATCAAAGTTTGCTTTAAGACCTGGGGGGGCCCAAAATCTTACTGTCCCACATAAGCTGGAAAGTCACCATTTGACCTTTGGTGTGAATTTAAATTCAAAAATACCTGCCTGAATTTATTTTATAACCTGTAACATGATCTTTAGTTTGGTCTCTGATAAGAATGATACTTAGGTGCATGTGTGTTTACAAAACACAGGATCTCTTGATTACACAGGAGATTTAATTACTTACTTTATTTTTCAATTTGATTAATATGCATAAATTGTTTGATATGCAATGTTTGGACATATGTTGTTTTTTTTTCACTTGATATAAATGAAGCAATGTATAATTATCAGGAAAGTGTTGAAATAGTTGCATGATAATTCTGTTTAACAAAACTGTACTTTTAACCCTTGATAATAAATTTAGAAAGTTTTAATTTGTAAAGCACTTTGATATACTTTTCAGTCAAAATCAATACACATATTGCCTTCCTCTGACAAATGTATACACACTGCACTTTCCTATGACAGATTTATCATTATTGAAGTAGTGCACTGTTAGTTTTATTATATCACATGCAATTTATAATGTATCACATTATTGCACTTCATTTACAGTCCCAAGAACAACTCCCTTCCTGATATCCCTCTTACCCCAAGAGAACGAGAAATTCTGGACAAAACAAGTGACCTTGGTATCTATGACAACCCAGGAATGCCTGTATCTAGGTCAGCTGACAGCGTGACTATGAGTAATGGCGGAACAAGTTTTGAGTTCCCGGCCACAGACTGTACGCCACCACCCAAACCACCGCTACCTCAGAATGCAGGCGTCATTGTTCCACAGTAAGTTATATGTACACAAGGGTTGTGAATAAGAGATTGATAGTTATTTGTTATTTTCATATTAGTTGATATATAAAACCAGTCATTTAAATTAGATTAAAATTTGACCTCATGACCTTGAACCCATGTCAGTTTCTTAGTTACAGCAGGTGCAGTGGTCCTGTGGTAGCACTGTTGGACCACAAATGCAGGTATTGTATGGTGTATGCCACACTAAGTAGACAAAGTTGTATTTTTTTGTGTCTCAAAGCACTCTTGTATAATTATAGTACTTTTCCTCCCTCTTATCAGAATTCTATTTGCAATAATAACAGAAACAGTCAAAATTAGGCATTAAATGATTGATAAATAATATGTGAATAGGGAACAATATTGAAATACATATCATTTTGTTTTTCATGGTTAAAAGATTTGCTAACTACAAAAACAGAAATAGTAAGAAAGAAGACTTTGAAAGACAGATCCTCATGTAACACAAAACATAAGTTTAAGATGATGATGAAAATTTCAATGCAGTATGAAGAGAAGTCAAAGCTATTTTTTTTTTTTTTTTTTCAGAAATCAACATTTTGGTCCTTATGCTAAATAGTCCAAACTTGTTTTGAAATATTGATTTGATATAACTTGATGTAATTGCATTAAAGCAGTTAAATATCATACAATGGTATTGCTCAGTTCATAAGCACCCTAAATATATGAAATTTTTCTGTGTAAAATGGTTTGTAAGCAACTTATTATTAGATTGATATTTTACTCATTATACCGTTATGTAAGCTAAAAATGGGGGAAATGATTAGATTCAGTGAAGAACATATTTTCAGAGAAACATACTTTTCATACATAATTTACATATACATAATTTACATATATACTTTACAGGTTAATACAGAAGTCAATGTCTCAAGATGATACTGATGGTGGTGACGCCCCACCTCCTCTCCCGGACAAGACAAAACGTCGCTCACAAATACAAAACATGCTCGAAATGGTGTCAAATGCCGGTTTACATGCCGGTAACGTATCTCCTAGCAACTTGTCACCACATAATAGCATGATTTTATCAGGAAATGTTTCTTTTCTTGATTATTCTATGAACTCAAGTAATGGTAGTTTACATAGTCAAGGGTCGTGTCCTTCCCCTTCAAGTAGTGTAAGCTCTGGATTAAACCAGTCTGCGGAAAGTTTAATGTCAGAAGGAAATGTTCAAAGGAGCGGACATTTTTCAAAAACAGTTTCTGACTCGACACTTACCAAGAAATCAGTAGTGTTAAAAAGCTCGCATTCTGAATGCACAGTGAACCAAATAAATCAATTAACACAAGAGATTGATAAATTAACAAAGCTTACTGACGATATGCAAGCCATGACAAAGCAAAATTTGAATCAGGGTGCGAGGCGATCGGAAGGCCCGCCACCCCCGTTACCAAATAAGGCCAATAGAATGAATAGAATGGTATCACATTATGACAATGTTCCTGATGGAGCAACGATAGAAAGTAGTTTCTCTTCTTCAAATGCTGTATGCAACAGAACTTTAATAAGTCAGACAATTACATCGCGGACGTCACATCGGTCGCAAACGTCGGAAGCTAGACTTTCATCATCAAGTACGAGCAGTACCCAGTCTTTCAGTGGTGTTCAGATGCAGAAATCCAACACGATTTCGTTTTCACAACAGACTAGTTCACAGGAGGATGCGTATTCGAGCTCTGGTTCATTTTCTAGTACAAGCCACTCTAGTATGGATAGTATTCCACGACCTCCCCCTCTCCCACCTAAAATGAGACACAGTAAGTAGACCTATTTAAACATATGGCACACAATATGTTACATTGTAACTTCTTGTTACATTGTTTCAAATGTAATACAATGAATCTACATGAAGGTGAAAATTCATTCGTAATGTGTTATGTTTAGAAATTGCGCTGTCCTTAATATAAAAGTGGTTGCCAGTGACACCTGAAGAACCAGTTGTTATAGTTAATATTTAAATGAATAAGTACAATTGAACCGATATTGGCCTATTTTGAAATCTTAGTGTCTGTTATTGTTACTAATTTAAACTGTGTTAGTTTTCAGACAAGAAAATTACTTCAAGTTTGTTGTGGTAGCCTTTCCTCTATTTCAAAGCTTCAATTTAAGAGGTTCATAATGAGATTTTAGTTAGTTAGGAAGAAAAATATCATCTTATTTCCTGCCAGAATATAACTGCGAATATAACAGTTGTTCACCTTATTAATCTTTAGCATGCTGACAGTTATTGAATCTCCTTACACTACCAGAACAAACCAAGATGAAAGTCACGTTGTAGTCATGGTCACGTACCCATAAAAGTCTGTGCTGTCTGATCAGGGTCTGCACTGTTTGCTAATTAATCAGTATTTATATTAAAATTTTCCCTAGAAGTAATGGGTTTTGTCCAGATTGAAAGATGGACAAGTCCATTTAAGATACTTAGCAGGGTAGGTGTAAATTGCTAAGATAATTATATATTTTATTACAGTTCAGACATATATGCAGACTATAGGTGCTTACACACAGCCACAAGGTATCGAGAGTATTTCTCGGCATAGTATGAACTTTTATGAGGCTCAGTGGCAACGTCACCAGATGGAGCTGTCACACACCCTGTACCCACGTTCAAATACCATCAGCGTGATATCAGATTTTAGTTCAGACTCGTCATTTGGAGGAAGTGCCCCTGGTAGTCCCTCCATTCCAGCACTACCAGCTAAAAGAAGGGTAATAGTTCTTGATTGATCTTAGTTTATAAATAAAGAGGAAACCTTCAGGAAAATGTTGGTTATGGAAAATCAGTTTGTTCTTTTGTAAATTTTATATCTTCACAATGAGGAAAAGGAGAGTAACTATACAGTCATAATAAGAATGGTCTTTATAAATTGTTTATGCCTCTCAACAAAGGGATTATGGGTTTGAACCTTATTTGGGTCACAGCCATGTTTCCTCAAAAGATGCAAGTACTTTTTAAAGAAAGTTTTAATAAGGGGACTAGTGCTTCAACTAAGCTGAAAGAAAAAACTCTTCACAGTAGAGCTAAAATAAATACTGTTTAAATAGCGGTGAACAAATTTATAATTTCTGTATGTAGAAATGTATAATGAAAGATGTTACAGGTAGTGTTATTGTTTAAAATGATTTATACTTGATTGTAGATATTGATATCAATGATAATATAGAACACATTGCCTTCACTAAAGTATAAGCTACATATAAATAAAGAAAACATTTTCTACGTTCGAATGTAAACCAAATATTCAGGATGACATTTTGTGCATTTTTAAATGGATTAATGGTAATATTGTTAAAAATGTTCACTATTTAATGTGTATTTAAAGTAGTGAAACTTAAGTAACGACTTTTGTTAAGGTAGTTCTATGGTAAATGCTCAAAATATGAATGTGTATCTACATAAAAAGAAATGTAAAGACAGTAAAAGAAACATTTTTATACTCTACATGTACTTTGGATTTGAATTCCTTAGGCCCATTTAGCCTCAGAAATGTATTTAGATTTTTCCTACGGAGAAAAGGAAAGTCTGTGTTTTATAATATTTTAGTAATGGATTTACAGTATGGTATGTTCTTATCTTATAAGGAAATCAGTGTTAAATGAGGAAAACATTGTCATAAAAGTAGCAAAAGTAAACAGAGTCGTATTTTGTCTTCCAAATAAATAACTTAATCACTATTTCTTTGCTAAAAAAAGATGTTCCATCAACATGAATACTGTCTCAAAAATTTAAACCAAACAGAAAAAGTAAAGCTTTTACGTAATCGAAAAAAATAATAGCATTGTTTGGTAGCTTAATGTGCCTATGGAATGTTTCATACTGACTTGTTTGTAATCAAAATTTACTGTTTACTTTGTAATTTTCAAAGTAATAACTCCTAATATTAAAGTATAATTCTTATAAATAATTCTCATAATTTTTTTCCTTCCAACAGTTTGGAATAAATCGTGATAGTCAGTTGTCAACTACATCTAGTCAGTCAGATACATTGTCTGATGTGTTCCGTGAGAAGACAGCAAGTATGGTGGAGCCATCTAACATACCTCAACATGATATGTAAGTTATTTAACCTCATCAGGACATGTAAGTTATTTAACCTCAACATGATATGTAAGTTATTTTACCTCATCATGACATGTAAGTTATTTAACCTCATCAGGACATGTAAGTTATTTAATCTCAACATGACATGTAAGTTATTTAACCTCAACATGATATGTAAGTTATTATATCTCTGTAAGAGATATAATTTATTATATCTCAACATGACATGTAAGTTATTTCTCTCAACATGACATGTAAGTTATTTTTTCCTCGACATGACATTTAAGTTATTTTATCTCAACATGACATGTAAGTTATTTTACCTCGATATGACATGTAAGTTATTTTTATCTCAACATGACATGTAAGTTATTTTACCTCAACATGACATGTAAGTTATTTTACCTCAACATGACATGTAAGTTATTTTACCTCAACATGACATGTAATTATTTTATCACAACATGACATGTAAGTTATTTTACCTCAACATGACATGTAAGTTATTTTACCTCAACATGACATGTAAGTTATTTAACCTCACAATGACATGCAAGTTATTTAAGCTCATCATGACATGTTAGTTATTTAACCTCATCATGACATGTAAGTTATTTAACCTCAACATGACATGTAAGTTATTTTACCTCAACATGACATGTAATTATTTTATCACAACATGACATGTAAGTTATTTTACCTCAACATGACATGTAAGTTATTTAACCTCATCATGACATGTAAATTATTTTACCTCATCATGACATGTAAGTTATTTTACCTCATCATGACATGTAAGTTATTTAACCTCAACATGACATGTAAGTTATTTAACCTCACAATGACATGCAAGTTATTTAAGCTCATCATGACATGTTATTTAACCTCATCATGACATGTAAGTTATTTAACCTCAACATGACATGTAAGTTATTTAACCTCAACATGACATGTAAGTTATTTTACCTCATCATGATATGTAAGTTATTTAACCTCAACATGACATGTAAGTTATTATATCTCTGTAAAATCTATAATTTATTATATTTCAACATGACATGTTAGTTATTTAACCTCAACATGACATGTAAGTTATTTAACCTCATCATGACATATTAGTTATTTAACCTCAACATGACATATAAAGTTATTTAACCTCACAATGACATGCAAGTTATTTAAGCTCATCATGACATGTAAGTTATTTAACCTCACAATGACATGCAAGTTATTTAAGCTCATCATGACATGTTAGTTATTTAACCTCATCATGACATGTAAGTTATTTAACCTCAACATGACATGTAAGTTATTTTACCTCAACATGACATGTAATTATTTTATCACAACATGACATGTAAGTTATTTTACCTCAACATGACATGTAAGTTATTTAACCTCATCATGACATGTAAGTTATTTTACCTCATCATGACATGTAAGTTATTTAACCTCAACATGACATGTAAGTTATTTAACCTCAACATGACATGTAAGTTATTTAAGCTCATCATGACATGTAAGTTATTTAACCTCAACATGACATGTAAGTTATTTAACCTCAACATGACATGTAAGTTATTTAACCTCAACATGACATGTAAGTCATTTAACCTCAACATGACATGTAAGTAATTTAACCTCAGCATGACATGTAAGTACTTAAGGCTCATCATAACATGTACGTTATTATATCTCTATAAGATCTATAAGTTATTTTACCTCAACATGACATGTAAGTCATTTAACCTCAGCATGACATGTAAGTTATTTAACCTCATCATGACATATTAGTTATTTAACCTCAACATGACATATAAATTATTTAACCTTGACATGCCATGTAAGTATTTAAGCTCATCATAACATGTAAGTTATTATATCTCTTATAAGCTACATAATTTATTATATCTCAACATGACATGTAAGTTATTTAACCTCAACATGATATGTTAGTTATTTAGCCTCAACATGACATGTAAGTTATTAAACCTCATCATGACATGTAAGTTATTTAACCTCAACATGACATGTAAGTTATTTAACCTCAACATGACATGTAAGTGATTTAATCTCAACATGACATGTAAGTTATTTAACCTCAACATGATGTAAATTATTTAACCTCAACATGACATGTAAGTTATTTAACCTCAACATGACATGTTATTATTAAACCTTAACATGACAAAGTCATGTAAGTTATTTATATTTCCTTAATAGGATCTTTATGTAATTTTATCCTTATCATAACATAGTGTTGAAATTTACTAAACATGATGTTCAAGAAATTCAGGGTATTTCCATGTAAATTTCACAAGTATTGGTTTAGGATTATGGGATGTGGGTAGCTCAGTTTGTTTTATTATTTCGATAAGTTAAAATCCCTTGAAGTTTGAATGGACTCTTCCAAAGTCAAATCAGAGTAAATCCATAACACCATGTCAGCAGTTTAACGGTTGTAACTTTGTTATTTCAGAGAACAGAAAAGGGCATCAGCACCTGCGGGTCAGTACACTGAGACGCCAATACAGGTGGAGCCACCAGCACTTCCGGAGAAATCAGACATTGCAAAAGATGCTGACTCGGATTTTGCTGAACTCAATCCCCTAGATGACATTGATGTGTCCGATCAACTTATTTATAAAAATGAGGTCAGTTTCATGTAGTTTAACATTGAGATTTGTAAATGAGTAACATTACAATGGATTGTTGCAAATGCTTTTCAAGCTTGAAAAGATGGTGGTCAGCTAGAAACATAGACCGCTTGATTTTAGATTTATAATTATTGCATTTGTGTATTTCCAGGGAGAAGATGGTCCAGATATACGTGGAGGGGCTATAGACGCACTTGTTGTACATGCTACTGCGGCCAACAAAACCGGTACGTAATCTGTCAATCTAAAACTTGTTAACCGACCTTAACCAATGTGTATGGTGCAAACTTTCTATTGTTATATACATTTCATTGTTAATTTATGTTCATTTCGAACTTACCAATTATGCTAAAACAAGTGGTGAATTGAAAACATTTAACATCATTTTAATTTCCTTTATATTTCGTTTACATTATGAAGTATGCTATATTATTATGTGGTCACAGCTGTAAAATGATTAGGTCATATCAGTGAAGAGATATTTTTATAAGTTTATAAGCATGGAAATTAAAATTTAAAACATGAATGACACTTTTTATATACATTCTTATAGTGGTTAAAAGGAAGTTTTGTCCAAACATCTTTCATACAACACATTTTAAACCTTAACCTGCTGAATTTGAATAATGGATTTGCCCAGCTTTGAATTTGGAACAGTCCATTCAAAGTTTCAGGGATTTCAATATCCAAATACAAAAATTGAGCTACCAACCAGTATAGAGCCTGGTCAGACTGTAGGAATGTTCAGGCTAGCCTGGCTCTATACTGGTGGCAAAGGTTTAAGGGTTAAAGCTTGATATTGTTGTATTGATAGCGGAATGATGGAGGGAGCTGTTTTCAGCTGTTTATTGTAGTTGTTTATTAGTGGTGTTTGACCAAAGTTGAACTTTGTTCTAGCATGATTATTGTGATTGCATCTAGATAATTCATTATTATCATGTATTGAAGATATTAAATCAGTGCGGGTTCTGTATTGAATTTGTTGAAGGAGTTGAATAAATCTGTACGAAGCAGGTGAGCCATTTGCTAGCTTTATACGGTTTTATTCAACAAGTTTGATAAATTACTATGGAATCTACTTGAATTTTATACTCGACTTATTACATACCCTGAAAATACATTATGTTCTGATATTACATCATTCTGTGTTTACGGAGTCGACACAGGTATATGATATATCATAAACTGTCTGCAATATATTATCATTAAGAGAAATACATTTTTTATAATATTTATTTGTTCTTATTTGATATGCAATGTCAGATCATTATTAATTAAACTAGAGGTTTTGTGTCAATGTATTTTCTGAGAACTAAATTTTTGGTGGAATAAAAAACATGACAAAAATGTTTAGGTTTTTTTATTGCTAAATGTCTTCTCTATAACTCATTGACATCTTCTACATCCCTCATATTTCTGATGTAAAAAACAAATTAGGACTGGATCTGGAAAGAATAAAACATATACAGTCGAACTTCGTTCGCTCGAACTCGGAGGGCCTGTGCAAATTTGTTCGAGAGATCGGTAGTTCGAGCCAACCGAGGTTGAACTATTATTACGTTGATCATATGCCTAAAGGTTTTCTAGCAGACATCGGTCAAATGATAAATACGTCAATATAAGTGTTTGTTAGTACATTTGTTCCTCGAATATGTCATATTCAGAATTATTATCCCAGTGTTTTCAATTTTGTATTAACGGTACGTTGTGTTAATCTATATTCATGCATATTGTAATTGGTTGAGTTCGATTGGGCAATCAGACCAAACTTGTTGAACAATGTTCAAAATATATCTATATGTTTATAATGGGATTAATTTAATTTAAAACCAAATAAATTAATGAAATATTTAAGAAAAAGTTTTACAGCAGCATTTATTTGTAGTCATTTACTAATATAAACTCCCGTACAAGTATATAATTCACGTTACATGAACTACGGTTGTAATTAAAGCTGTCCGGGTAAACGTCATTCTTTATTGACTTTTGCATATTTCACTTATTCCACGAGTTATTTTCTTTTTATCGTTACCATAAACGGCAAATCAACAATATTATCATAACAAACAAATCGGTAACAACACCCCTTATTTTGTAATAATTAACCTTAATTGCCTTTGTCACGATCACAAGGTGTTAAAAACATGTGTCGCCGACTGTCATTTATTTAGGACAGCCGACTTGTCTTTTTGTGTTCGACCGAAAAGGTGTGATTTTCACTATATATCTGCCGAAGGGACCAGAGATCAGGTTCGAGAGTTCGAGCGATAGGTGTTCGAGCGATCCGAGGTAGAACAATATATATTATATAGGAACTTTGCCGGGACTGGGCGATGAGTTCGAGCGAATGGAGGTATTCGAGCGATCCGAGTTCGAGCGAACGAAGTTTAACTGTATAAACACTTGTGACTTATCTAAAAACAACAACAACAACAATATTTTGGACTGGTTTTCATATTTTTTTCTCCAACTATAAAGGCTCACACAGTGATTTAGTTAACCAGCAAGGTAAGCAGTCTATTGTGCGTCTGTCTGTCTATCTTAATCTATCTATTCTAGAATACCATAGAAACTCATGCATCATGCACTTACCAACACCCCCCCTGAGTGTGAAATGACATTGTTTGAAACTTAATTTATGTAAAAAAATAAACCCATAGAGGTTTAAACTTTAACTTGCTGGAAATCTTAAGTGATTGGCATTTCCCAAAATCATATTTTGTCACAGACCAGCTAGCTAGGCTCTATAACACAGCTGGCTAACCAATTTCAAATTTCAACTTGTTATCCCTAAAATCAATAATAGACAGTTCCAAAAATGGAAGCTGGACAAGTCCATTTAAGAAATTCAGCAGGTTAAGGGTTAAATCTGTTTTAATTTAATTATGTTGGATGTAAATCTGTGATTTTGTTTTTTACCAAAACTGAGTTTTTATTTCCTGGTTGATTTAAATGCAATGGGATCTTTATACTCAAATTGGAGTATAATTATGCTCCCCGAAAAAATTTCGGGGGAGCATATAGTCGCCGCCTTGTCCGTCCGTCCGTCCGGCCGTCCGTCCGTTTCCGTCCGTCCGTCCCCTTTTCTTGTCCGGGACATAACTTTGAAACAACAAGAGGTATCAACATGAAACTTTGTAGGTAGATAGATCTCATTGAGTAGGTGTGCAGTGCGCAAGAACCGTAACTCTGCCTTGCCTAATTTTTGAATTATTCCCCTTTGTTTATTTTTACACTTTGAACTTTGTCCGGGACATAACTCTAAAAGTATAAGAGGTATCAACATGAAACTTTGTAGGTAGATAGATCTCATTGAGTAGAAGTGCAGTGCACAAGAACCGTAACTCTGCCTTGCCTAATTTTTGAATTATCCCCCTTTGTTTATTTTACACTTTGAACTTTGTCCGGGATATAACTCTAAAAGAATAAGAGGTATCAACATGAAACTTTGTAGGTAGATAGATCTCATTGAGTAGGTGTGCAGTGCACAAGAACCGTAACTCTGCCTTGCCTAATTTTTGAATTACCCCCCTTTGTTTATTTTACACTTTGAAATTTGTCCGGGACATAACTCTAAAAGTATAAGAGGTATCAACATGAAACTTTGTAGGTAGATAGATCTCATTGAGTAAAAGTGCAGTGCACAAGAACAGTAACTCTGCCTTGCCTAATTTTTGAATTATCCCCCTTTGTTTATTTTACACTTTGAACTTTGTCCAGGACATAACTCTAAAAGTATAAGAGGTATCAACATGAAACTTTGTAGGTAGATAGATCTCATTGAGTAGGTGTGCAGTGCACAAGAACTGTAACTCTGCCTTGCCTAATTTTTGAATTATCCCCTTTGTTTATTTTACACTTTGAAATTTGTCCGGGACATAACTCTAAAAGTATAAGAGGTATCAGCATGAAACTTTGTAGGTAGATAGTTCTCATTGAGTAGGTTTGCAGTGCACAAGAACCGTAACTCTGCCTTGTCTAATTTTTGAATTATCCCCCTTTGTTTATTTTACACTTTGAACTTTGTCCAGGACATAACTCTAAAAGTATAAGAGGTATCAACATGAAACTTTGTAGTATATAGATCTCATTGAGTAGGTGTGCAGTGAACAAGAACCTTAACTCTGCCTTGCCTAATTTTTGAATTATCCCCCTTCGTTTATTTTTTACACTTTGAACTTTGTCCGGGACATATTTCTTAATGTATAAGAGATATCAACATGAAACTTTGTAGGTAGATAGATCTCATTGAGTAAGTTTGCAGTGCACAAGAACTGTAACACTGTCTTGCCTTCTTTTGTAGTTATTGCCCTTTGTTCATTTTGACACTTTGAACTTTGTCTGGGACATTATTCTAAAATTATAAGAGATATCAACATGAAACTTTGTAGATAGATAGGTCTCATTGGGTGGAAGTGCAGTGCTTAAGAATCATTACTTCTGCCTTGCCTTATTTTGAAGTAATTGCCCTTTGTTTATTTTTACTTTTTGACTTTTGTCCTGGACATTACTTTAAAACTATTAGAGATATCAACATGAAACTTTGTAGGTAGCTAGATATAATTGGATAGAACTGCAACGCTTCAAGAACCTAAACAAAGCCTGGTGTAATTTTGGAGTTATTGCCCTTTGTTCATTTTTTTTTATACTTTCCTGTGTCCAGAACCTTCTCGGGGAGCATCACCCGGTTCAACCGGTTCTTGTTTTAGATTAGCTATTGATAAGCACTTCAAGATTTATCAGTTCCGCCATTTGGTCTTTGCTTCACATAACTCTGAATTCTATGTTGTGTTGAACCTTTCATTGACCTGAACCCTTATATGGTGAAACAGGTCAATTGGGTCAAGGTCACTGAGACTTAAAGAGAAGAAAAGATGTTCTTTTTTATCCTCAATGTGACATTGAGGATCATATTTCACTGCCACTGTCCTTGTAAAAACTTTAAAACAGTATTAAGTTATGAGTTTACTTTTGTCCTTGTGACAGAGGATTAAATTTATACACATTTTGATAACAAAATAATTTTAAAGACTTGATTCACAATAGATTTAAAATGAGAAGAAAACAGTGTCATTTCAAACTTTGTCATGCTGAATTAAATAGACAACTCAGTGGTATTCACTTTTCTTTTCCTGTTAAAGTCCCAAATGTCCTGCTCATAGGCTTGAAATATAATTTTCTTTGATTAAGACATCAGCTAAATGGTAGAATTGATTTGGCCTTATTGTTAGTAAAGTAAAATTTGATTTATTTTTGTTTGTAGAGAAATTTTGTTTATGTAAAGCTAAAAAGAGTAACAGTTTCTTGATGTAATATTCACCATATCTTTTTCATGTATCTGTTTCATTTATGAGTACAAACAATATTTTCTGGCAATGCTTCAGAATAGAGAAAAAAGATGTTTTTGAGATAAAAATTTTGTTTCGATAAAGCTCAGATTCTTATATGATCTGGCAAACAGTACAAGAAACATGCCTAAGTGTCTTTATTTTGAAATATTTAGAATTTTTTAAAAATCTAAGAGAATTTCATCTCATTGTATTTCACATATACTATTGTAACCTAGATCCTTGCTAAATAGCTACATCCCCTATATTTTTTTAAATCATTTATAATGTATGTTAGTGCTAAATGGGTTCATATTTCTGGAGTCTATGCATCTCTTAGCTCCAGCAGGTGAGATGGCTTTGACCCATGGTGTTGCTTCAAGTTTGTAACACGTGAGGTTGGCAAAAAATCCATCTCTTGTTTTAGGCGCAATATGACCAAAATTGTGTTGGTGTGCCATAAAACCAAACAACAAAACTTGTAGAGATATCAAAAAGTGGAATCCATTTTAGCCCATGTGGAACAATGTATCATAGTGGACTGTTAGGACCTCCCTATCAGTGTAGATTGTATGTAATAAAGTGATTACCTTTCATCTTCTTAACATTTCTTAAACAAAATCTCCTTATATGAACCCTTATCATAGTTGAAATGATGGAAACCATTTCATGTCATGCAGAATATTGGTTACCATGGCAACAGGAAACAAATTTAATTTTTTGCTTATAAAAAGGAAGGCTAAGAGCATACTGTCATGTGGTACTACCCTTTGACTTCTACTAAGATTTTTCAAGTTATGATCTTGAGGTCAAAATTGACCCCACCCAGGGGTCACTTGATTTTGATCACTTTGGCTTAATTTGGCTTGTGAAAGAAGTATTTTTAAATCTTCTCTTCTGAAACCAGTATTCTTGGAGCTTATATTAAACTTGCAGCCAAACCTTTTGCACCTGTACTGAGATTGGTCGGAATATGATCTCAAGTCACAGCTTTGCTGGGTCGTTTAATTGCTTTTATAATGGCTTGTTTAGGAATTTTTTAGATAAAAATCAGTTTTAAGCTTTGCTCACAAGGAATGAGATAAAAGAAATTGCAGGTTTCATCCTGGCAAGCAATAAGGCCATCATTGTCCTTTCGTATTAGTTTTGCTGCACATGACTATTATGCCCAGTCGGTCTAGAAGTGTTTATTTAAATAAACTCACACAGCATGTCTTGCTTTGATTGCACCACAAAATTTGTTTAGGGTATTTGCTTGGTTTGTAATAAATACTGAAGTTTGTCTATCACTTAGCACCATGTAAGATTCCCCTCTTATTCTTAAAATCTATTTACTTTTTTTAAGTTCCCCCTATCTTATAATCTGTTAGCATTTTGTAAGAACCCCCTCCCTCCATTTTCTGAAAAATCTATTCACTTTTTTGCTTCTATGTGCACAAATTTTTGGTGAAAACTGGGAAGTGTTATTTCTGCCTTAAGGTTGAATTAAACTCTAAGTGAATTATATCCATTGGTATTTATAATTTGGGATCATAAATGAAATATTTTCTATTAATTAACATTTTTTCGTTATAAGTCCTTATTTCTTTTTCTATAATGTTTTAGGGACACAATTTTGATTAAGTTGGAAGTATTTTATTTGGATATTAATTATTGTCTCTTAAAGAATATATGAAATACAAGAAGTGTATGGCAATGAATGACTTAACCATTAACATGCTAAATTTTGTTTAATAGATTTGCATTGCTTTGAATTTGCAGCTGTCCTTTCAAAGTTTAAGGGATTTCAATATCAAAATACAAAACTTGAGCTACCAATAGTATAGTGCTTGGTTTGACTGCTTGGTTGTACAGGCTGGCCTGGCTCTATACTGGTGGCACAGATTAAGCATTTTTGGTTCCAGTAGGTTTTAGGATTAGGAAGTGAAGATGTTTTATAAGAATAGAACCAGCATGTTGTTTGTGTACTTTGTTAGATATAGTGTGCATGTTGCTTGTGATGGATGGTGATAGGTATAATACTGTAGAGAGTTTTCAACCTGTTAAACTGGTGTACCAGTACCTTTGGTAAATTATATGCTACTGTAACAGTTGTAAATTATATGCTACTGTTTCAGTGGTAAATTGTGTTATTCTGTAACAGTGGTAAATTATATGCTACTGTAACAGTTGTTAATTATATGCTACTGTTTCAGTGGTAAATTGTGTTATTCTGTAACAGTGGTGAATTATATGCTACTGTAACAGTGGTGAATTATATGCTACTGTAACAGAGGTGAATTATATGCTACTGTAATAGTGGTGAATTATATACTACTGTAACAGTGGTGAATTATATGCTACTGTAACAGAGGTGAATTATATGCTACTGTAACAGTGGTGAATCATTTGCTACTGTAACAGTGGTGAATTATATGCTACTGTAATAGTGGTGAATTATATGCTACTGTAACAGTGGTTAATTATATGCTACTGTAATAGTGGTGAATAAAATGCTACTGTAACAGTGGTGAATTATATGCTACTGTTTCAGTGGTAAATTGTGTTATTCTGTAACAGTGGTGAATTATATGCTACTGTAACAGTGGTAAATCATTTGCTACTGTAACAGTGGTGAATTTATATGCTGCTGAAACAGTGGTAAATCATTTGCTACTGTAACAGTGGTGAATTATATGCTACTGTAACAGTGGTGAATTATATGCTACTGTAATAGTGGTGAATTATATGCTACTGTAACAGTGGTGAATTATATGCTACTGTAACAGTGGTAAACTATATGCTACTGTAACAGTGGTGAATTATGTGTTTCTGTAACAGTGGTAAATCATTTGCTACTGTAACAGTGGTAAATCATTTGCTTCTGTAACAGTGGTGAATTATATGCTACTGTTTCAGTGGTGAATTATATGCTACTGTAACAGTGGTGAATTATATGCTACTGTAACAGTGGTGAATTATATGCTACTGTAATAGTGGTGAATTATATGCTACTGTAACAGTGGTGAATTATATGCTACTGTAACAGTGGTGAATTATATGCTACTGTAACAGTGGTGAATTATGTGTTTCTGTAACAGTGGTAAATCATTTGCTACTGTAACAGTGGTAAATCATTTGCTACTGTAACAGTGGTGAATTTATATGCTGCTGAAACAGTGGTAAATCATTTGCTACTGTAACAGTGGTGAATTATATGCTACTGTAACAGTGGTAAACTATATGCTACTGTAACACTGGTAAATTATATGTTTCTGTAACAGTGGTAAATCATATGCTACTGTAACAGTGGTAAATCATATGCTACTGTAACAGTGGTAAATTATATGCTTCTGTAACAGTGGTAAATGATATGCTACTTTTATAGTGGTTAAAGATATCATACGACTTTAACAATTAAGCAATTTGCTGGGGATATTAAAGATAATGTTGTTAAATTATTGATTCAGTTTTGCCAATTAAGATGATTTTTTATACAGATGTACTATTATAAAGTAAAATATTATTGATGAATCACTCATGCATAGTGTGATTTTGAAAATCCATGTTCTGTAGAAATTATAAATTCACAAGGCGTTGAGTAGGGAGATTATATTAAACAAAAAGGTAGAAGAAAACAACAAGATAGATTGCATATGTTTGAAGTGAATATTACAGTTTGAATTTCTCGTATTTACAGTCAATAATATTGCACTTTGAATGTCTAATATTAAGTGTTAATATTACTATATAAATTTCTTTTGATTGTTGGTTTGAATCTATTATCTGACTCATTAACAAACGTTACAGTGCAGAGTTTCTCATTTCTGTAAAAGATCAATGAAAGTAGTTGAACTTTTTTAAACATATTTTGTTCATGAAGCATTTAGTGTTCAGAGATATATTTGAACGTAATGTTGGATATGTATTTTTATGTATGTTTAAAATATTAATGTAGATGTAGCTATAAATCTGAGAAATTATGTATACATGTATAATTATATTAATTGCAGATAAATCTTATTGCTCGTTGACTAAGACAGTTTGGTCTCGAGTATTATCATTGTTTGTAAAAATATAAGCCGCGCCATGACAAAACCAACATAATGGGTTTGCGACCAGCATGAATCCAGACCAGCCTGCGCATCCGCGCAGTCTGATCAGGATCCATGCTGTTCGCTATCAGTTTCTCTACTTGTTATAGGGTTTGTAAGCAAACAGCATGGATCCTGATCAGACTGTGTGGATGCGCAGGCTGGTCTGGATCCATGCTGGTCGCAAACGCACTATGTTGGTTTTGTCATGGCGCGGCTCATATGTAAATTTATATCATTTTAAACATATATAAAGCAAGATAAGCATTATGTCATGAATACACCGGGCTGTAACATCTTACTGTATTATGTCACTTCTATAAAAAAATAAATAATGAAAGCATTTAATGAACCTTTTTTTACATATATGTAATAAACAACATATTGATGTTTTGAAAATGCGTTCAATTTGAAATAACACTTGTTGTATAATGAATGACGTGTATTGACAGAGTTTATGTATCAAGAGGCGTTCCTGACGACATATCGTACCTATTTGTCTTCACGTGAACTGGTGGACAAACTGCTGTACCGGTTCAACAAATTCCAGTATTCACCGGATGTTACGAGGAAGAAATCCGCTCGCAATGCTCTATTCCTGCTCATCAGGGTCATCGACTTAATGAGGTAATTCAGAACTTTTTGACTTCAGACTTAACTTGTGTTTTGATATCAGACATGTGGGTATTTATTTATCATAACAGTCTATTCTATTATATTTGTTTACTGGTGTTATAGTAATATCACTTTTTGATATCTTATTGAATATCTGTTGCCTTATTTCCGTGTATAAATGATGAAAACGGATATCATGAATGATATATGAAAACAGCATCTGTTTCATCTAATTAGTAATCTAGGTAGGAGTGTTAGGGGCAAGCTGTTGTTAACTTGAACAAGTCACATTTCACTCATTGCCTATAAGTACTGGATGGTTCCAGGATTGCCACTGACCCCTCGCTGCTCTGGGTTGGAATCATGCCGGGAACTTTGAATTCTTATAATTATTTGAGGAAGCTATGCAGCCAGCTTACTGAATGTAAGTGGTTCTACTCAGGTGCCTGCTTGTGCCTGGAAAAAATGCACAGAGTGGCAAGTGAGGTCAGCTCTTCTGCCACATGTAAAGCTGTAAGGTCACCATATGACTTTTAAAGGGTATGTTCCAGGACAGGACTTTAAAGTTTATTTATATATTAACTTAAAGCTTCCTTCACAACAAGATAAAATAAATTCTGTATCAATTAACCCATTACGTTATATACACGCCTTTTAACGCCTTTTTCACCCCCCCCCCCCTTTTTGTTGTCTCAAATGGTGAAAAAATGCCTTATTTAGGCCCCCAACACTTGTTATTGTTTGAGAAATGTTGTTAAAAAAAGTGACCTCTTTTTCGGCGCGGCCTCCCAACCAAAAGATACATCAGGCGGTTGCCAGAAGGGGGATGTGCCCCCTTCTGTTTTGGGGGTTTGAAGGGGGGCGGAGTCCCCCTCATCGCCAAGAAAATTTTGGACTTGTGAGAGGCTATAAATAACCCCAGATTGATCATAAGGTAACGTGTAACCAACGCTGAAAAGCATTTGACTCTATCTCAATATATTGAGAAGTTGCAGCACTTTGAAATCAATTTTGATGGAAAAAATCAACGCAAAATAGTAATTTTTGGCAATTTTGAGATGTCCCCTCGTTGCCATGGTAACAAAAAATTGAGGCCTTAGCATGTTGTTGCAAGGGCAATGGTCCAGTCAACATTTGTGCCAAGTTTGATTAGTGTTGAAGCAGTTTTTATAGTATTATAGCAATTTGAACTTGTAACGGGAGACTTTTCAATGAAAACAGCCATTTTTCACAAAATGCTCATGAAGTAATGGGTTAAGCTAATATAAATTTAAAGTTACAATTCAATTTGGAAATGTTTAAAAAGCCCTACAAACCCTTAAATACATTTCTATGTAAATATGTTGGATTTTAGGTGTCAATTACACTCTGAAGTCTTTGACAAACAGTAAAATAAAAGAGGACTTGTGTTTCTACAGTCGTTAATAAGGTTACAGTGATTGAAGTAGTTGAAAAACATGATAATGATAAAAAATTTCTAGAGAAAATTGTGGTTTATATGGGTCGGCACTGCATTGCAGTATACATTGTTGTGCTGTTATAAAGAAATGAAATAACTGTGATGATATTATTTCAGTTTGTTAGAGTTAGATGAAAAGATGATTGGTATTATGAAGGAACTCGTGTTTGAACTGTTGTGTCAAGGTGATCTCACACTAGCTCGTGTCCTACGTATGAAACTGATTGAGAAAGTTGAGGCCAAAAAAGTACAGGAAGTACATCATCAAGAACATAATACACCTCTGTCTTCAATTTCTGTAACTACAAAGTAAGTACAATATAAGTGTTTTTATTTAATTTTACCTATGAAATATGGTGCTATATCAGTCAAATATATTTCATATTTTTTAAAAATAAATATGAAATATAAATATGAAAGTGGGCGGAGTCAAAACTCATATTTATTTTAAGGGACTTGAAATTAAATAAAAAGGTTATTATACCCCCAAAAACGAAGTTTGGGGGGGTATATAGGAGTCACCCAGTGGTCGGTCGGTCGGTCGGTCGGTTGGTCGGTCGGGCGGTCGGTCGGTCGGTCGGTCGGTCGGTCCAGACGTCCGTTGCATTTTCCTTGTCCGGAGCATAACTTTAAAACTAATGGTTGGAATTCAATATAACTACATACAATGGTCAAGCACATTGAGAGGAAAGTGCAGTGCACAAGAACCATAACTCTATCTTGACTAATTACAGAGTTATTGCCCTTTGTTACTTTTCCTTGTCCAGGCATAACTTGAAAACTACTGGTTGGAATTCAAAACAACTTCATACAATTGTCAAACACAATAAGGGGAAGTGCAGTGCACAAGAACCATAACTCTATCTAAAGTAATTACAGAGTTATTGCCCTTTGTTACTTTTCCATTGCTTTTTTTTTTGTCCGTTGCATTTTCCTTGTCCGGAGCATAACTTGAAGACTAATGGTTGGAATTCAATATAACTACATACAATGATCAAGCACATTGAGAGGAAGTGCAGTGCGTAAGAAACATAACTCAATCTTGACTAATTACAGAGTTATTGCCCTTTGTTACTTTTCCTTGTCCATGGCATAACTTGAAAACTACTGGTTGGAATTCAAAACAACTTCATACAATTGTCAAACACAATAAGGGGAAGTGCAGTGCACAAGAACCATAACTCTATCTAAAGTAATTACAGAGTTATTGCCCTTTGTTGCTTTTCAATTGCCTTCTTTTTTTTGTCCGGAGCATTACTTGAAGACTAATGGTTGGAATTCAATATAACTACATACAATGGTCAAGCACATTGAGAGGAAGTGCAGTGCATAAGAACCATAACTCTATTTAAAGTAATTACAGAGTTATTGCCCTTTATTACTTTTCCATTGCTTTCTTTTGTCCGGACCATAACTTGAAGACTAATTGTTGGAATTCATTATAACTTCATACAATGGTCCAGCACATTGAGAGTAAGTGCAGTGCACAAGAACCATAACTCCATTTTGACTTATTACAGAGTAACTGCCCTTTGTGTCTTTTCCTTGTCCAGAGCATGACTTTAAAACTACTGGTTGGAATTCAAAACAACTTCATACAATGGTCAAGCACAATAAGGGGAAGTGCAGTGCACAAGAACCATAACTCCATCTTGACTAATTACAGAGTTATTGCCCTTTGTTACTTTTCCATTGCTTTCTTTTGTCCGGACCATAACTTGAAGACTTATTGTTGGAATTCATTATAACTTCATACAATGGTCAAGCACATTGAGAGGAAGTGCAGTGCATAAGAACCATAACTCCATCTTGACTAATTACAGAGTTACTGCCCTTTGTTACTTTTCCTTGTCCAGAGCATGACTTGAAAACTACTGGTTGGAATTCAAAACAACTTCATACAATTGTCAAGCACAATAAGGGGAAGTGCAGTGCACAAGAACCATAACTCCATCTTGACTAATTACAGAGTTATTGCCCTTTGTTACTTTTCCTTGTCCAGAGCATAACTTGAAAACTACTGTTTGGAATTCAGTACAACTTCATACAGTTGTCAAGGACATTCAAAGGAAGTGCAGTGCACAAGAGCCATAACTCCATTTTGACAAAATACAGAGTTACTGCCCTTTGATACTTTTCCTTGTCCGGAGCATAACTTAAAACGTACTGGTTGGAATTCAAAACAACTTCATACAATGGTCAAGCACAATAAGAGGAAGTGCAGTGCACAAGAACTATAACTCTATCTTCAGTATTTATAGAGTTATTGCCCTTTGTTCTTTTTTTTTGTCTTTCTGGACTTATTACAGAGTAATTCAATTAAACTTCATCAATGGTAAACCACATTGAAAGGAAATGCAACATACATGAACCACAATTATCTTTAATTGCCCACAACCATAACTCTATGTTTCAATTCTTTTACAAGGTATTCTGTTACTAAGTAACATCCTCATTTCGGAAGCAGACTTGTGGGGGTATTAATCACATTTAGTGATAGTTCTAGTTTTTTTCGTTTTTCGTGAAATATGGTATATATTTTCACTCAACATGATAAAATGCCTAATATTTACACTCGCCGTCCCGGCTCGTGAAAATATGTGGCATTTAATCATGTTTCGTGAAAATATATTCCATATTTCACTCAAACGAAAAAATATCCTCTTAATATATTTCTATATATTTAACTTATGCTTTTAACCTTACCTTGTTGAAAGTAATATGACCAGCCTTTGGCGAGGTCAACATGCACATCTGTGTAGACTGTATACTGATGGTGAATCATCTTTGAATTATCATCTTGATATCCGCAAAAAAAGGATAATAAAATGGAAACAGACAAACTCATTAAAGGCACATTATGCCTTGGAAATCAATATCATTTTGATTCTTTAGAAAGGTCTGATATGTGTTTTATAATATTTTGAATTTAGAACGTCTTACATGTTAAAAGTTGGCAGAAAGTAGTGTTGAATGTGCAGCAATGTGTTGTAAAAGTATAAAATGTAAACAAAGTAGTATTTTGTCTTTCATACAAAATATTTACTCCCTATACTTATACCAATTGCCAAAACTGTTAAAAGATAACAGTGATAAAAATGTTCTGAAAAATAAAAATGATAGAGTTTGAAAAATAAAAATAAAAATGATAGTATTTCTTAATGGGCCTTTAAAGAAATACAACAATTTGAAATGCTACGGGTACAATGTAAGTTATTATATAAAGCATTTTCACATGTTCACTAAATGTACTTATTTAATAATATAAAGGTATACATTTAACCTAATAGTAGGGACATAACAGTAATCAAAACTTAACATTAATGTCATAGTATGAAAGGAGGAAAAGTAAAGTTTAAAAAAAAAAAGATTCAAATTGAGTCCTCTCACATCTTAACATTGTACATCTCATGACAGATGTTATGCACCGAAGGGCGGAGCTCTGATTTAAAAAGGGTTCACAGGTAAGCAATTTCAGGGTATTTATAGGCCTCTTGTTTTCTATTTTATTAAATGTCAACTATATATAAGCATTTTGACTGTATACTTTGCTTTGTTCATTTTAGTGCCTACTTTGTGATAATATTCCTTACTTTATTTATTTCAGTCGTCCAGATTTACTCCATTTTAAATCACATGAGATAGCAGAACAGATGACATTAATAGATGCCAATCTCTTCCAACAGATTGAGGTGAGTCTTGATCATAAGTTTATTATATTTTTGGTCTATATTTTCTTGATACCAGTACATATGCCATGTATATAAGATAGAATGGGTAAGATTGCTTCTCCTTGTCACATCCCCTTTCTTGGTGTGCAGGCTTCATTAAACATAGAGCTTGTGTGCATGAGCAATTAACTTGATACCCTTAAAGATCCTGTATGTTGTGATCAAAGTGGTTAACCACACTTAAGTGAAATTATATATATGTACAATTTTCAAACATCAATGAATATGTAAAATATGTACTGCAAATGTTGCATATTATATGTAATCATTAAAATGTATGCATTCATTACTTATTGTAAAATTTGACTTAAACTTTATAGAAAATAAATTTCTAATTACCTCCCTTTATTTACATGAAATGTTAAATTCGGTAATATCTTTATAACTATTGCTTTTTGGGACCTACAATATTGATAAATCTTAATTTGAGCATCAAATTTATGATTTAAAGCCATAAAAAAAATGTGTTACAAGATCTTTAATGTTATGAAAAGGAATACTTGGATAAGCTTGTTGAAAGTTACTTAAAAATGATCCTGTCTCAGTTCTTGCATCTACTTGTAAATAATGTGAAAGTATACACTTAAAAGTTGTTTTAGATTTTAATGAAAAATACTAAAGATAAATCTGAATTGAATCAAATATTGTAAAATCATATGTTGTACCAAGGCCACAATTTTGCTGAATGTACATTTTGGACTATCTTGAAAGGTTGCAGCTTTGCAAATTTCTATTTTCAGTTCTTTAAAGTCATATCGTAGTCATATGGTAGATGCTTAGTGAACATGTATTTTAGGGAAAATCTTCAATACTTATTTTATTTATTTATCCTTGCGAAAGTTTCTGACAAAACATTTGATTATAACTGTATATTTACATGAACTAATGTTATATTTGTTTAGATACCTGAAGTGTTACTGTGGGCAAAAGAACAGTCAGAAGAATTGAGTCCTAACTTGACGCAGTTTACTGAACATTTCAACAAGATGTCATACTGGTGCCGTACCAGAATATTGCTACAGACTGAGGCAAAAGAACGAGAAAAGTACATGGTCAAGTACATTAAAATAATGAGGGTAGGTGAACTTTTATGTTGAGACTTATTTCCTACTTTTCCTGATTTTGTAAAATGGACTTGCCCATCTTTGACGTTGGAACTGTCCATTATTTGTTTAGGGATTTTAGATATAAATTACAAAAATTAAGAACTTACAGTGTAGCGTTGTATAGACTCTGGCCAGAATGCATGAATGTCAGGGCATCACTTGGGTCTAGTTACATAGGCAATGTTATTGACATTGGGACTTCCATGTAAACAAATCACTATATCAAAGAAACATGGATATGGGGTTGTTTGCCAATGAGAATGTCAAAGAAAAATCAGATGTTTGATTCATTTTTAGACTTGTAAATAAACTTGAATGAAACTTACAAATTTGCCAACAGAACTTATATGTTTATGTTTTAACTTTTCTTTATGTTTCAGCATTTGAGAAAAATGAACAACTTTAACTCTTACTTAGCATTATTATCTGCCCTTGATTCAGCACCTGTTAGACGGTTAGACTGGCAAAAACAACACCTAGATGTAAGTAAAACATAGACAAGATAGTTTTATCTGATTAAAGCTGAATGTTTAAAGTGAATTGGGTACAAAATTTATGTTGAATTTAAGTTGACTCTTTGGATCCCCGCATTACTAAAGCAGTTATCATCTGCTGATAGTGCTAATTGTTTAATGTTTGAACAATTTGTGTTTGATTCAAAAACAGTGATATTAACAGTTACAATTACTAATAAACGATTATATGTGTACATACATTCAAAAACAGTGATATTAACAGTTACAATTACTAATAAATGATTATATGTGTACATACATTTTAATTGATACATATTTTATATTTTCAGGCATTAAAGGAGTTTTGTCAGCTAATTGACAGTTCTGGATCATTTAGGGCATACAGACATGCCCTGTCAGAGACTGACCCTCCCTGTATACCTTATATGTAAGTATAGACATGCCCTGTCAGAGACTGACCCTCCCTGTATACCTTATATGTAAGTACAGACACGCCCTGTCAGAGACTGACCCTCCCTGTATACCTTATATGTAAGTATAGACATGCCCTGTCAGAGACTGACCCTCCCTGTATACCTTATATGTAAGTATAGACACACCCAGTCAGAGACTGACCCTCCCTGTATACCTTATATGTAAGTACAGACACGCCCTGTCAGAGACTGACCCTCCCTGTATACCTTATATGTAAGTATAGACATGCCCTGTCAGAGACCCTTTCTGTATACTTGAATGACATGGAACAATATAGTTTTTATGCCCCCGCCATGTAATGGCCGGGGCATATAGTGTTACCCTGTTCCGTCATTCCGTCCTTCCGTCATTCTGTCATTCCGTCATCATCAGTTTCCGTTCATTATCTTAAGAACGGTTGGGCACATTCAACTCAAATTTGACATATGGATATGTCATGAGAAAATACAGGTCAAGTTCGAATTTGGTCATGGTTCGATGATTTTTGGCAGAGTTATGCCCCTTTTACTTTGAAAATAATATGAAATTTCAGTTTCCGTTCATTATCTCAAGAACGGTTGGACACATTCAACTCAAACTTGACATATGGATATGTTATGAGAAAATACAGGTCAAGTTCGAATTTGGTCATGGTTCGATGATTTTTGGCAGAGTTTTGCCCCTTTTACTTTGAAAATTATATGAAATTTTCAGTTTCCGTTCATTATCTCCCCAACGGTACAACACAATCAACTCAAACTTGACATATGGATATGTCATGAGAAAATACAGGTCAAGTTCGAATTTGGTCATGGTTCGATGATTTTTGGCAGAGTTATGCCCCTTTCACTTTGAAAATAATATTAAATTTTCAGTTTCCGTTCATTATCTCCCTCAAGGTACAACACATTCAACTCAAACGTGACATATTGATGCGTCAAAGGAATGCGCAGGTCAAGTTCAAATTTGGTCGTGGTTCGATGATTTTTGGCAGAGTTATGCCCCTTTTACTTTGAAAATAATATGAAATTTTCAGTTTCCGTTCATTATCTCCCTCAAGGTACAACACATTCAACTCAAACGTGACATATTGATGCGTCAAAGGAATGCGCAGGTCAAGTTCAAATTTGGTCGTGGTTCGATGATTTTTGGCAGAGTTATGCCCCTTTCACTTTGAAAGTAATATGAAATTTTCAGTTTCCGTTTATTATCTCCCCAATGGTACAACACATTCAACTCAAATTTGACATATGGATATGATTTTGGAATGCCCAGGCCAAGTTCGAGTTTGGTCATGGTTCAATGATTTTTGGCAGAGTAATGCCCCTTTCACTTTGAAAATAATATGAAATTTACAGTTTCTGTTCATTATCTACCTAACAGTGTTACATATTCAATTTTAATTTGACATATGGATATGTCAAAGGAATGGGCAGGTCAAGTTGGAATTTGGTCATGGTTTGATGGTTTTTTGGCAGAGTTATGTCTCTTTCACTTTGAAAATAATATAGATACATCTTAGGAATAAGCAGTTTAAGTTTGAATATGGTCATGGTTCAATGATTTTAGACAAACTTATCTTTCCTTAATGTTGGAAAAATTTTGAACTTTCAGTTTCAGCACTCATTCTTTTAGCCATTATTTTGGCTACAAATATGCAATATGCTTTTTCTAAAGGTTAAGACTGAATAATTTCAGTGCCTTGAACGTTGTATGGAAATGGTTTGTGTTAACATTGAAAAGTTTTAAGGGCTTTGAACTTAAAATGAAAAAAAAAAATTAATGCACCATCTGAAATTTTGGCTGCATGCGGGGGCATCCGTGGCATGATGACACATTTCTAGTTTGTATGGACTTTAATTGTTTGAAAGAGAAATGACTACACAAGTATAATAATTTTTGATGATTCTCTTATTTGTCCATGAACATTGTTAAGCCGTAGTTTCAACCTTTATTCAGGTGAGCTATATAAGGGAAATTATTGCTCTCTTGTTTAAATTAACATGGCTCACTGGCATTTTGACAATAGTGTAGAGTATAATAGGTTACACTGGCATTTTGACAATAGTGTAGAGTATAATAGGTTATATGACTGGTTATTTATACTGTGACCTTTATTTTCAGTGGCCTAATTCTACAAGATTTAACATTTATCAACATTGGTAACCAAGACTGTTTACCTGATGGAAGTATCAACTTTGCTAAACGCTGGCAACAATTCCATATTCTGGACAACATGAGAAGGTTTAGGGATAAAAAATGGTGAGAATTGTTTTAATGTAATCCACCTTGTATGACATAGAGGTTCAGTATGGGTGATCATGTGATATTTTGTATGGTAGCACTGTGGTACCACAAATGCAAAGGTCTTAATAGTGCTTTGCATTATATATGTCATTGATTGGCAGCATTCAGTGAGATTTCTACTTTTTGTTTTTCAAGTAGCAAAATTAGTCAGGCTGAATGTCAGGGGTATTTCATAATGGCATAATAGCATTTTTTGTCACAAAAGATGGTTCAGAATGCGGAATCAAAGGGGTATATGATTTTCAGGGGTCAAATACCCATACTTAAACAAAATTATAAATGTACAAATTTAGGACCAAACAAATAACCAAGTTTGGAGGGGGGTATACTGTAGAAGGGGACAGATTTGGAGGTTTTCTACTGTCAATACATTTATCATTACTTTATCATTTCTTTGTGACGGGGTAATTGGCCCAGTAATTATGTTTGGAAGCTTACATGACAAACAAATGTTTATATCAAACATATAACCTGTTATAAAGAATAAATACAGCACAATTCCTTTAAAAAATTGATATCAAAGATGAATTTAGATTTTGTTTAAGGATATGAAATTTGTTGATGTTCTCTGAAAAGGTTTGTAGGAAAATGGAACTTGATGGGAATTGCATTCTGGGAAATACCTCCAGAAAGTTATTAGAGGTCATAGGTCACAATGTTATAATCTCCCTTGCATGTTTGATTTATGGCAGTACAGGTTACTTCCCTTGAACCATGATAGTATTACATTTGTATTTCTATTTAAATAAAGGCAATGTAAATTAAACAGCAAATATTGTTTAATGCAATTCTTAGATTTATTTGGGTAAAAACGTTATTCTAGCCATGTATATAGATTATTTATATTATCCAATGATAATCAACATTACAAACATGCAGTAGTATAATATAGTCAAGAAATGTTCTACATCTATGAATTGTTTTTAGCTCGACTATTCGAAGAATATGAGAGCTATTGTAGTCGCCCCGGCGTCGGCGTCAGCGTCCGCGTCGGCGTCTGCGTTGGTTAAAGTTTTTTGTAAAGTCAAATATCTCAATTATTACTTGAGATATTCAATTGAAACTTACAATACTTATTTAAAGTAACAAGGTACATCAGATTGACAAGTTTGATAACTCTGCCTACAATATTGACAGAATTATGCCCCTTTTTAACTTAGAAATTTTGGTTAAAGTTTTTTGTAAAGTCAAATATCTCAATTATTGCTTGAGATATTCAATTGAAACTTCCAATACTTATTTATAGTAACAAGGTACATCAGATAGACAAGTTGGATAACTCTGCCTACAATATTGACAGAATTATGCCCCTTTTTAACTTAGAAATTTTTGTTAAAGTTTTTTGTAAAGTCAGATATCTCAATTATTGCTTGAGATATTCAATTTAAACTTACAATACTTATTTATAGTAACAAGGTACATCAGATTGACAAGTGGGATAACTCTGCCTACAATATTGACAGAATTATGCCCCTTTTTAACTTAGAAATTTTGGTTAAAGTTTTTTGTAAAGTCAAATATCTCAATTATTGCTTTAGATATTCAATTTAAACTTACAATACTTATTTATAGTAACAAGGTACATCAGATTCACAAGTGGGATAACTCTGCCTACAATATTGACAGAATTATGCCCCTTTGGAACTTAGAAATTTTTGTTAAAGTTTTTTTGTAAAGTCAAATATCTCAATTATTGCTTGAGATATTCAATTGAAATTTAAAAATACTTTTTTGTTGTAACAATGTACATCAGTGTGCAAAATTGCATAACTCTGCCTGCAATATTTGCAGAATTATTTGCCCCTTTGAAACTTAGTAATTTTAGTTAAAGGTTAAAGGTATACAAAGATATTTACTTGAAACTTTACACATGCACTTAGGGTCATAATTGGAGGGTCATAATTGTATGTCACTGACCAAGTTCCATAACTCTATCTTGCATTAAGGCTGATTCATATCCCCTTTTCTACTTAGTCTCTTGGTTAATGTTTACATGCAAGTTTTACATATCTCAATAACTATTAAAGATATTTATTTAAAACTTCACATATGCATTTATGGTCATAATTGTAGGTCACTGACAAAGATCCATAATTATGTCTCCCCCACCTCGGGGGGAGACATATTGTTTTTGCCCTGTCCGTCCGTCCGTCAGTTCGTCCGTCCATTCTTCGTTTCCGGACGATAACTAGAGTTCCTTTTGACCTACAGCCCTCAAACTTCATAGGATGATTGGTCTTATAGAGCTGATGATCCCTATTGTTTTTGGGGTCAGTAGGTCAAAGGTCAAGGTCACACTGACCGTTGGTCAATTTCTCGTTTCCGGATGATAACTAGAGTTCCTTTTGACCTACAGCCCTCAAACTTCATAGGATGATTGGTCTTATAGAGCTGATGATCCCTATTGTTTTTGGGGTCAGTAGGTCAAAGGTCAAGGTCACAGTGACCGTTGGTCAATTTCTCATTTCCGGATGATAACTAGAGTTCCTTTTGACCTACAACCCTCAAACTTCATAGGATGATTGGTCTTATTAATCAAATGATCCCTATTGTTTTAATGGTCAGTAGGTCAAAGGTCAAGGTCACAGCGACCGTTGGTTAATTTCTCCTTTCCGGATGATAACTAGAGTTCCTTTAGACCTACAACCCTCAAACTTCATAGGATGATTGGTCTTATTTAGCAGATGATCCCTCTTGTTTATGGGGTCAGTAGGTCAAAGGTTAAGGTCACAGTGACCATTGGTCATTTTCTCATTTCCGGATGATAACTAGAGTTCTTATCAGTGAGGACATTTAACTATTATTGATATATCAGTGATATATCAGTTGTCTGGTTTTATATACTCTGTTCTTTTTTGATCTTTACAAAACAGTTTAGGAAGCATCTTCTCATACAACCTTAACAATAGAAACCATCCATAGACAGCCTTCATTGAAGTGACTACCGGGTATTTACATTATCTTATCTCCATTTCCATTCCTGTTTCCATTCACAGTTATTCTCAGCAGTGGGGGAGACATGCGCTTTTTTACAAAAGCATCCTCTAGTTCTATCTTGCATTTAGGCTGATTTTTCTCCCCTTTTTCAACTTAGAAATTCATGGTAAAGTTTTGTTTGTAAGCTGTTATCTCAATAACTACTGAAGGGTTTGTGCCTTTTTTGGGACAATTTTATGCATTCATAATAATAAAGCAGTGATTTCTTGATAAAACATCTTAATAACAAGCCTTTGTACCTTATCTGTCAAATTTATGTATTCATAGGTAATTAGTATTATTATATTCAATAAAACACCCTTGTGACATTACCTTCCGAATAGTCAAGCCAATACTGTATAATTAGACTCTCTCTAAGGCCTATAACATGAATTTATAAAAAAAAATTAGCCCTTTTGTGAACTTAAAAAATTTAACATTATCAAGGCTCTTTTACTATCAAGCACTTAGAATAGTCGAGCGTGCTGTCCTTCTGACAGCTCTTGTTATATTTCAGTAATTATGATCTAAAGAGAAAGAAAGAGATTGTGGAAATGTTTGATAATTTTGCGGACTATCTCGGTGAGGAAGCTCTGTGGCAGATCTCGGAGGAAATTAAACCTAGAGGAGGCAAAAAGAAAGTCGAAAGTGAATTATAGTAGATAGTGACGATAGGTGTGTGCCAACATTGACTTGATTTGTTTGTGATATTGATATGTATTTATCTCCACAACCAACTTTTCCTTTGAAAATATATAATTAAGCTGCGTCATGACAAAACTAACATAATGGGTTTGCGACCAGCATGGATCCAGACCAGCCTGCCCATCCGCGCAGTCTGATCAGGATCCATGCACCTTGTAACTTGTCATAGAGTTGGTTAGCGAGCAGCATGGATCCTGATCAGACTGCACGGATGCGCAGGCTGGTCTGGATCCATGTTGGTCGCAAACCCACTATGTTGGTTTTGTCATGACACGGCTCATATGTACAGTTACCACAGTATATGAATATATGTTAAAAAACGTACATTAGATATCACCATGACATTATTTATAAGTGTGAAGAATAGTCACATTGCAAAAATAAAATGACTATTTTGAATGATTGTAAATTATTATCTACCATATAATATATGAGCTTTCTTCAGTCTCTAATTTTTACGTTATTTACTAAGCACACTATATAATCCTGTCTAATCTGTGTTGTTTAAAAGAGGAATATTCTTTTTCTAAATCGCTAGTGATGTGAACAAATTTGACAGGTGATATCAACAAAATGGCAATTGATATAAAGAAATTGAAAAATGATATCAACAAATTGGCAAGTGATATTAAAAATTTCCAAGTGTTGTCAACAAATTTGCAAGTGGTATCAGCAAATATATTGTGATATCAGCAAATTGACAAGTGTTATCAACTAAGTGATATCAGCAAATTAACAAGTGATATCAGCAAATTAACAAGTGATATCAGCAAATTAACAAGTGATATCAACAAATTGCCATCTGGTATCAACTAAGTGATATCAGCAACAAATTTGCAAGTGATATCAAGAAACTGACATGTGATATTTAAGGGATTTGTCAATAATTTTAGGCACAAATTTCATGCATAAAGTAACTTATATCATCAATATCATGACCCATTGTTATATAACATTTGTTTGTGTGACTATGGACGACAACTGCTGTTAGTTAATTATAATGATTATACCTGATATAATTATTTAAAATGATCACCCATAAATGTTGTGCTTAACTAAACCCTTAACCTGCTGAACTTCTAGCATGAACTTGTCTGACTTTCGTTTTCGGAGCTGTCTATGATATTAAGATAAAAATTTGAAGATGTTCAGTCGACAGTATAGAGCCTGGTCAGACTGTATGGATGTGCAGGCTAGCCTGGCTGTATACTTGTGACAAACATTGATCATTCTTGGTTCCAGCTGGTTAAAGGTTGATAAAGAGATAAAGATGTCTATTTTATGCCATTCTCTTCCAAGTTGGAAGATTATACTGTTAAACAGTTCTGCTCATGTTGTTTAGTCAGTTAGTCAGTCTCAGCTCGACAGATTTTTCTTTTTTTTCATCTTGCCTATAAGCCATGTGGTTTCAAGTAAAACATTTCATGTTGTTTAGTCAGTAAGTCAGTTTCAGCTCGACAGATTTTTCTTTTTTTCATCTTGCCTATAAACCATGTGGTTTCAAATAACATTTTACAATAATGGTTTATACATTATTAGTTTTCAAAGCAATAGAGTTTAAAATATTTAAATTAAGCATGAATAATTTCAATTCAGTGCAGTGAGATTTAATGCTGATTATGATAAAGTTGTAATAAATCACTCTCCACTGACCAAGACTCGTAATTTAAGCTTGGATTTTTACAGAGTTATTCCCCTTTGTGATCATTGAAAATATTTTACTTGGTCTTGCATCACCATTCAGTACTATGCTGTCTTTGCGAAAGATCTTATCTTCTCTTATTTTCCTATGTAATGAACAATAATCATTCAAGGTATAATTTCTATGGTTTATCAGTACAGGGTGTTAGAACAGGGTCAAGATGTCATCATTTACTTGTCCTTCCTCTGACCACTCTGTTGTATTATTGTACATACTTATATATATATATTATTGTGTGCATATATATTTATATCTGTATATATTGTAAAATAGTGTTTGCATTGGGCATAGTTGCAATATATCTCAAAAACAAGGTGGCGTTTTAGTTTGGGTTGTGGCATATATATTTGGCAATTGATTGCACAACACAAAATGGTCTGTCCAATTCATGTTGTCGTTTTCCCTAAATCTTCTTATTTATTTCCTAAAATATGTACAAGTGTGTTGAATCTTCATTTTCTTCATTACAGAATATTTGATAAACAAAACAATTAATTCAGTCCAAAAGTTCATTTATGTTGATTTGCAATTTCAATAATTATTTCATCATAATAGGAAATGTTCTATCTTGAAGAAGAAAAAAAAAACTGCTTTAAGAACTTTGGATTATCTTTGGTTGGCATGAAGTTTTAGAAATTATTAGTTTTACAGTGAATTATTCTTGAAATAAATAAAAAGATATGTTTTTCTGCAGTATCGCTGTACAGATATGAACAATATACCGTACAACCTCTGCATAGAGACCCTCTGTAGAGCAATAACCTTTTTACAACAACTATGTCAATTTGCCCGCAAAGTGATTTAACCTCTCAAGGGCAATAACTCTTGGCAGCAATCAAAATGATTTGTCTCCCTTAGAATGTTGCTGTTCAGAGGTATTTTACTGGGTTTTAAAATGCACGAGGCTGAATGTCGTTTTTCAAAAAGGATATAACCATTTTAGTGGACAATTTATTCCCTTAATTTTTCATAAGTAGACAGTATGTTTTGAAATTGTCTTTTACTTTCATTTGTGTAAACTTTGTAGAGGAGTTAGATGTAGAAAAATAACAATATTTACGAGGGTAGTTCAAGTTAGGTTACAAAGATGTAGATTTTTTTTTCTCTTTACTTTAATGACTCGCAGGTTTTAAAACTCTTTGTTACTGTAATAAATTGTTAAAGTAAATTTTAATGTCTCGCTTTTCTTGACATACATGTTTTATATTTCAACTGAAATTTAGGGAGAACTCGGTGATGGTGACATTTATAATGTCATTGAATGAAGTATTTTTGTTTTACTTTCCTTATCATTGATCTGATAATATTTAGCATTTAAATTTCACAGAAAATAAATTAATCATGTAATCAAATGAGGTCATTCACAAATGATCAAAACTGTATTTGAAATTTTGTGTATGTGAAAAAATAATGGATGTAATCACAGTTGGTAAAAAATTTTCAAATGTTATTATTACTTTAAGCAACATGTATTTGGCAACAAGACGGGGACGTGTGTTCTTAGAATGAGAATTCATTTTTTGACCAGGATATGTATTATTCTATTTAAACAGAATATTAGTGCCCACAATATTTGTGTACTTTGTATGGTTTAGAAAAAAAGCATTTAACAAAATGAATTGTTTCTATTTATATTTAGCAAATACTGGTATATTGATTTGTTTATTAAGGTTATACAATTATAATGGTGTGAAATTGATGAGTAAATATTGTTAACCGAAAATGTTAATGTGCTTACTTTAATGACGGTTCAGAAATTAAGAAATTGTGATACTTTTTCCATGCTTTATTTATATAATGGTCATTTTGTAGAAGTAAACTTTAGAATATTTACACAATGGCACGTAATATTTTAGTCATACCACAACTGGTATAGTTTAAACAATAATATATATTGTGACATATGCAAAATATTCATAAGATTTAGAATATTTACTCAAAGGCCAGTAATATTTTAGTCATACACACAACTGGTATAGTTTAAACAATAATATATATTGTGACGCATGCAAATTATTCATAAGGAATAAAGGAGTTTATTCTCAAGTTATGAAAACAACTCGCCCATACGATGTGGTTTGATCATTTTCTAGAATTATGAATAAAAAAATGAAATAACACCACAGGTTAATACATTTACATGACGCTAATGCACCAGGATTTTCAGCTTATTAAAGATTTGTTATTTTTACAACACTTCAATTTTAAATCATTGCAATGTTTTTATTTTGTAAACATTTTTGTGAAAGGTGAGTAGCTTTAAACAGCCACATAATATTACATTTTTTTGCCTTGAAAGTTTGTTTCAGATATAAACTGCTTCAAAATGTGTACTTGTATATTTATGTGTGCGTAAGTGTTATAGTGTGTTATAAAGGAAAACATGTAGCTTGCACTTTATTTGAAATAAACACACGTGACCAATATAGTGAAAATGTTTATTCACTTAGATATTATTTATTCTACTTATTGATATTGTATAACAAGGGCAGTGTTGACGTTGGACTTTAAGAAATGGAAATATTTACCTAAATTATTAAAATGAAATACCAGCATGTACAAAAGTAATTGGTTTTAAAGATTAATAATACTTTAAAGAAGTTTTATCTACTTATATATATTATAAAACAAAAAAAAAAATGGCTGTGTGACAGTTTTATGTAGTATAAAGCCATGACTTGTTACCTTAGCACAGTAATGGGTTAACTTGTATCAACTTTTTATAGGAGTTAGCCCATTATCGCACTAAGGTGATAATTAAATTTTTTTTACACAGTTGATATGGCAAAATCAATTTAGAATTAATAACCTTTCTGGACACTATTAGATGTACATGTATTCTATATGACTGTCTATTTTAAAATATATAATATGTATGAGAGATATATGTGTCAGACTTATGCTCTGAAACAGACACAGGTTGTCCCAGAAAAATCTGTTAACAATGTAAAATCAATTATATGTGAATAAATCTCACTGAATTGCCATTTATATTTTAACTGATTATTTTTCTTGTGAATATGATTATGCAATAATGATGCCCATGTTAAATCAGCAATTACTATATAGTATATTATTATGATAATTAGACGACTTGTCTATACAAAGAACTACCCTGATGTCCACTCTTGTGTATAATGGAGGGGACAAAATGCATGGAGGGGTACAGAGGTCATCCTGCACCGGTAAAGCTGGAATTTTTCGGAATGACCATTTTTAATGTGGGCTTGACGTGACTTTAAATCTTTCAAACTATAGTAAGAAACTGTATGACAAATGAGAGTGAATAATCTGGTATCTTCACTGATGTTAAAATATGTTGTGAATATTTTAAGGGAATGAATGCAGAAAACTAGTCAAATTGTTCTTACATAATTGATGAGTATGTAGAAAATATAAGAATGTTTAATGTACTTGGTGCAGTTAAAATTGTGTTTCATGTTATATCTATTAATTGATACCTATATTTGTCTAGTGTTGAAAAAATATTATTTAGACATTGTGAATAAATACATGATTTCTTAATTTATTACTTTTCTCTTCATTTTACCAAATATTTATGGGTTATTTTTTTGTGATTGCACAATTGTGTTATCCATTTTTAGATTGACTTTTTCAAGAAAAGCTACAGACAAGTTGTTATTAAGGAGTACATGTACTCTTAACTATAATTTTCTGCCTTTAATGTGTTTGACTTTAGAAATAAGAATAAGTCGATGTGGCCCCCTGCTGGTTGGTGGGTCTTGTTGCTTTAACCTTTGTCTTGCTGAATGTTTTGCTATACTTTGAATTGGGAGCTGTTCATATTCCAATATAAAAAAAATTGAGCTACCAACAGTATAGAGCCGGCATGGTTAAACTGCACCTATACTTGTGTGAAATGCTTCTCTCTTTCTGATTAAGCAGGGACAACTGCTGTCAGAAAGAATTGAGGAAAAGTTAAATCCTAAATTATTTAGGGAACGAGGCAATGACTTGTAATAGATAACGTGTTAGATTTACATAATGTATGAAGTGAGATAATGAACAAAAAACCTGTTTATTGATTTACTAACGGAACTGAAAAGATTACCTTTATAAATAACTTATTTATAGAAATAATGCTTTTGAAGTTTACTATCCTATGTATTGATTTATAAACAAGGAGTTTGGAGAGGTGGCCAAGAGTTAAAGGAACTCGGCCGAGGTTTTTAACCTGAAATGGCTGGAAATAAATTTTCGAGATTTGTATACCATCTGATGTAGGTCTAGAACAATAACTTGTTTGCAGAATTTTAAGTCATTCGCTCACTCCGTTCTCTATTGTACAAAGTGAGCCAAATATGAAAAGCCTTACAACGCTTTTACTGCTTTTACTCGAATTAGCATAAAAAAAGCACAAAAGTCGATTTTCGATTTAAATCTGAGTATATTTTTCTCCCCTTTTTACATTTTACGCGTTTTTCCATCTTTCCATTTTACGTGCAACTGTTGTTTTATGTAAAATTTTATGTTTTAAGACTTTTATATCCATGCGGACCTCCTTTAAGATGTCTACCTTTCAACCTAGGGACCTTGTGTCCAGATAGGGCACGAACATAATTACTGGTTAGTTCAAAGAAACCGGACTTTAGATTGATAAGTTGAACGACAATCGATCTTCAATAAAATTGGTTTTAACTACATGTAAATTATAGGAGATAACAGATATTTGTAAACAGCTGTTTATGTAATTACATTGTTTATCCCTTATTATAATAAGTATCTTAATGCCATATCTGTATTATAAATCTTGGATCAATGTAAATATGCTATAAAACTTGAAACAATCATGATATAGAAGGTGTTACAACGATGTTACAAACGCTGAGCTGTTGTAAATTATTGCCTTTGGCTTATTAAAGAAGTTGATCTAGATCCACATTTCTTATCAAATAAATAACCGGCTGCATATCCAACAACAAAAGGAAAACTTGATTAAAATATTTACTGTATTTAATACAGAATATTCATCTGATGACAGAACATATTCATTAGTTTATGTTACTTGTGTTGGTCGTTGTATGGTACTGTCTTTGCATAAGACGCCATATTGCCTCCATCATATTAGGTATATCTGACCATAATAAAACAACAAGATAATTGCAGACGCTTCGCTTGTAACAGTTGATGGCTTTATCAGCACCCCATATTACAGTTTTACCATAAACTAGATTAGTATAGTTCATCGCCGGAACTTTCCCCGGCGTTAATCCGTACAGGAAGACGTCATCAATCCAGAAAAATGGCGTCATTATTGACGATTTGTAGAGGTCGAAAATTGCGTCATTAGAAATAACTACAGCGAAACCTTGACAAAACGGTGGGTAAACATTGCGATTTTTGAACGTTGCACTTTCACCCACGTACCATTTCGACTTTTTATTTCGATCAATCCTAGAATTTATTAAACGTCTGCACGCCATGTGTTTATCCTTTTTAAGGAACGTTGGTGCAAAATGTTTCAAAAACGTAAACATATTTATAATGACGTCATCGTCAACTTTTAGTATAATTTTTACGTTTTGACATCGTTCGTGTAACCATTTATATCCCATAATTCCTTTCAATGTGATATTGTAATAAGAATCAACGAAGTCTCCCTGCACGAGATCCCCGTACACGTTAAACTCGTGCTCTATTTCCCGCTGTAAAGTTTCGTTTCTAACCTGTCCTAGTAAGAACAATGTTTGAACAGTTCCCAATTCGGTATAGTAAGAATTATTTGCCCACGTTCGTCTTATAGCCATCCTTTTATTATAATTCTTAGGGGCTGTATGGACCATGATCATAACTAACAATCCTTCTGGTGTCTTACATAAGTCTTTGTTCTCCATCAAATATTTCATGCCGGCAGCTGACTTTACGTTAGGTCCAAACTCCGCCACACGTACATCTGCTGTTGTATTTATATCCTTGTTCTTACTAAATTTAGATTTGCTTTTATTATATATATTATCCGGCTCATGAATTATCTGTTTCGAGGACAGTCCGAAATATTTACCGAACATGAGAGTTTTATTTTGTAATGTAAACCGCTGTGATAACGCACTAGAGTCCACGGTTACATTAATTCTCGACACCAACTCTCCAGTAAAAGGTCTAAGAACTGCCATATACGCGGAAAATAAACAAAAACATAACACGCACTTTCTATTCCTCCTGCTGAAAAAGTAACGCTTTATCAGTTTAAATCTGTACTGTTCTGTTTTCATATTTGTCAATAAATAATCAAATTTATTATATTAATTTTGCGTCAGTCGCAATTTACTCTACAACAAACAGACACTGAGACTTAAATAAAAATCCATTCAGACATTCCGCATTCTGACTGAAAATTATACTGCACACTATCCGATACTGTACACGGTAAAATATTACAAATTGTAAATATAGCTTCTTTTACATCCAACTTTGTGTCTTTTTTTTATTGTTATTGTTATTAAAACTTTTAAATCAACGTCTGCTTATGTCAAACATATGTAGACAAACACTCGTGTTTTAGACACAAATGTACAACGCTAAAGGTGTATTCTATACTATCAGAAAATAAATTATAAATACTTTAACATGAATACAATACAGGAAACAATGTACTTATCCGGTCACTGGTATAATAGGGAAGCGTAATACTTAAACCATTTTATAAGATCTTCTCTATAGAAAAAAATAAGAAGTATTGACCTTTTTTGATTTACCGCCGTGGAGTAAAATTTCATACCAGATAAAGAATTACATATTTGAGCCGCGTCACGACAAAACCAACATAGTGCGTTTGCGACCAGCATGGATCCAGACCAGCCTGCGCATCCGCGCACAGTCTGATCAGGATCCATGCTGTTCGCTATCAGTTTCTCTACTTGTAATAGAGTTGGTAAGCGAACAGCATGGATCCTGATCAGACTGCGCGGATGCGCAGGCTGGTCTGGATCCATGCTGGTCGCAAACACACTATGTTGGTTTTGTCATGACGCGGCTCATTTGTATTCGATGTTTTATCACACACAATCATAAAATTGCGGTGAAAATAAAAAACACAAAACAAAACAATGCAATAAAATGATAGATCACAGCAAAAATGCTTCCTGTACAGAGCACTACCACGGTGTTCAAATATACAGCGCTACGTTGTCAATAATTTATGTTTTGTCATTGCGAGTCACCTTCAACTTCACATAGCAAAAGTTCCAAGTTCTCCGATGATATAAATTTTTCCCCTGTCGATTTGAAATTTTATGAATCACAAGATTTATCATTTCATGTTTATTTTACTATCTTTACAAGGCAATATGCAGTTCTAGGTATGGTGGCTGATTTGGTACACTTTGTGCTAGAGACAACACAATCTATATATCATTATTGCTTTCTAGCGATACGCGCCAAATGGCGCGTTGTCAGACTGCTATCTTGTCGTCCTGTCGCTAATGAAGCACGAAAAACGGCGCGTTGTCGTGCGGCGCGTTGTCGCCCTGTCGCTTGGCTTATATATATACACACATAGCCAATCCTTCGATTTGAGCCGAACGACAATGTGACATTGCGACAACACGATGCACGACAACGCGCCGTTTGGCGTGCATCGTTAGCGACAAGACGAAAGTTCGACGTCGCTAGCGACAACACGACGCACAAAAATGTTCCAAATCAGCCACCATATCAAGAAGATGACTAAATTCGCAATAACTCGAAAAATATGTGTATGCACGATTCACAGACTGACATGTTTGCTGGATCGAGGAAATATTTTCGGAGTATGTTCCTATTCCATATCTAGAGAATATAAAATAAGTGCAGATTTAATATTAAATTTACTGAACGAATTGTATAAAATTATATTATGCGAACCTCTGGCGACCATAGAATCTAATATTGTTTTATTCAGCGAAATCAATTGAATCTACACGAAAGTTCTACTTATCAAATATCTAGAATAAGAGCGGTAGTAATGTTTCGTTGACGCGCCGTGTATTTTTAGCAAAGCCACTGCGGTCACGTGCTTCACAAACCCCGAGATTAGGGTCTGACACCGGACCCTTGATGTCGAATCTTTACAAGAACAACGCCAGGCTAAAAACTGGAACAAAATTAACAGAAACATATTGTAAAATCAGCCACTAATGCGATTGAGAAGCGTATTTTTTAAAGCTATAATTAAGCTTACTGAAATACTGGAATATTGTATTTAAATTAAATCCGATCAATGGGCAAAATACTGAAAAAGGACTTAACATGTTAATTCAGATCCTTATAGAACGTAAGTAACAATACAAGCAAATGAAATTGAAATTTGCGTGTATAAACGACAATCACTTGTTGTAAAATATCAAGTATCGATCAAAGGCCTAACTGATAAATATTTTATCAATAGAGGAGACAGCTCGCTCGACTAGATTAATGACTAGCAAAAATAAATAAGTACAAAAAACACAATGTAAAAAAGTATTGACGCTCTAGGACTTGAAGTTACAGAGAAGTGTTTTTTTTTAATTTCAAAAGTTTTAAACTAATGAATCTCTGTAACAAAAGCTCCGCTCAGGCACGGTAACATACGATTTATAATAAGGTATCACGGACAAAAATATGCCTTAAAGATAGTCAATAAAATATTGTAAATAGCAGAAGTGATTTATTCCCGTCGAATATAACAGAAAAAAGGCTAATTATGAGGTAAAAGCATGTTTGTAAGAGATTGTTTGCATATGAGGGAGGCGTAACTTTGTCAACAATAAATTGATGAAAAATACAAATGCTTTCAAAAGTTTTCCTGTGCTAACCAATAATGGTTAAAAAGGGGCATAGCTCAATCGATAATAATTCAATAACAGTAAAACTCGAACTGGACCTGTATCTTGATACTAACATACACGCCACAAATCATTGAAATTCTTTAACTATCATGATGCAGAAACCAATATGTCACAGAAAATTCAGCCAAAAGGGGGCGTTAACTCTATGAATAATGATTTGATTTCAGTCAAAATTGAACATTCCCTGTATCTTGGTCAACATAATACTAACATGCCAAATATAAAAAAATTATTGAAACTCTTCAAAATTTATGCTGCGGACACATATAATTTCACAGAAAAATCAGCCAAAAAAGGGGGCATAACTTTACAATAATAATTTGATTTTCAGTCAAAATCGAACTTTCCATTTGTTTTGATATATAACATACTTACATGGCAAATATAAACACAATCATTGAAATCCTTTAAAGGTTATGCTGCGGAAACCAATTGACTTCGGACAGACAGACGGACGGTCGTTCTAACTATTGTTCTTTTTAGCCGCACACATAAACGATTACGGAATGAATAACATGAAAAAGTACAATTACCTTTTTTCATAAAACCACTCAAGTATCCTCTCGTAAAACGGGCAGACGGACGTTTTCTAAGTTGTCATTAGGGGGTTTCTTCATTTGATCTTCTTTGATCTCTAAAACCCCCATTAGCAACCTATTTTCATCCAGTAAGCAACCCCCTTTCCCAACAAGTGCAGTCTGTACAAATGAACATAGATATTTATCCCATGTCACTGGGGTCCATGTGAGGACAAAAATACGTTCTAGGCCTTACACATGGAGACTTTTAGGATCTATTTTTTACTTCTTTGTCCCAGATGTGCAATGGACCATAACCATTTGAACAACTGAATGAACTTTAAGTAAAGAACATTCCAGGCAAGTTTGATCAAGTTTTGTCCAGATGACATTTACAACAGCTATGTAGACTATGGCCGGACGCCAACGAACCTAAAGGTTCATAAAGAACACCATGTGCTTATGTGAGCTGACAAAAATTAACAATAAACTTTCAACTGTGGTTCATTAGTGTTTTTTTATTTTATTTTCTCAATAAATTACAGACATTTTTCAACAACAGTATGTTTACAACAGTATGACAAATGCCGATGTCGCTGATTACTCTATGCATTTTTTGTTCCCCATCAAAAACACACAATAAAATTATTTGCTGATTCAGAATCACACTAACAATTAAACATGTACATTAATTTATTGGCAAAACCTATTGCATTTCATTGAATGAAATACTTAATAGTTCACTTATATACTGTTACAAAGTACAAGAATGGTATAATATTGTGTAGTTAAAGCCACATTATGCCTCAGAAATCAATAAATATTTCATTCTTTAGAAACGGAAAACGTGAGTTTTATAATGTTTAAATAATGGTTTTAAAACGTGTAAGATGCTTACTGCAGTATCACCTGAAGAAAGTAGCGTTGAATGTGACATTATTAGCCATACAAGTAGCAAAATGTAAATAAAGTAGTATTTTGATTTCCGTACAGAATACTAAATCACTATATCTGTACTAATGGTCAAAAGGCAACAGATGCAAGTGATGGTTCACGTCATTGACCAATGAGTTACAATTTTGAAATGGACACTTAAAAATAAACAGCTTGAGAGAAATAAAAAATGGAAGTATTTAGGCATAATGGGCCTTTAAATTACTTCCTAGAAGAAACATAGGATGTCTTTTTTACAGATATATACACTGTTTGGTAAATTTTTCTTTTCATATTAACATTGTGTATATTTCTAATAATCAGATTTTTCCAGATAAAATTTACTCACTAGTTTCTCAAACAAACCAATCACCCAACAGACAAACATTGTCATTCTACACATGACTGATGATTACAATATTTATAACAAGAACAGATCAACAAATATCATCAAATGACCTTGACTCTTATAACAACAAGCATGTAGAATATTAACCCCTAAAATAAAATGAGCCGTGTCATGACAAAACCAACATAATGGGTTTGCGACCAGCATAGATCCAGACCAGCCTGCGCATCCACGCAGTCTGATCAGGATCCATGCTGTTCGCTATCAGTTTCTCTACATGTAATAGAATTGATAAGCGAACAGCATAGATCCTGATCAGACTGCGCGAATGCGCAGGCTGGTCTGGATCCATGCTGGTCGCAAACCCATTATGTTGGTTTTGTCATGACACGGCTCAAATAGACAACATTAAAGTTTCTTCTATAAATACAGGATTTATTTTCATCAAGTGGTATGAAAATAAATATTTCACCAGTTGTACATGTAGTAGCCAGAGTGAAATATTATAATTTTCATACCACAAGATGAAAATTAATCCTGTATTTGTAGAAAAAACTTGAATTTTCTGTTTATTATATACTTTTTCACTTTTTAACCTTATGAATAGGAACAATTCCCTTTTAATTTTGAGTATTGGCTGAATTCAGAAGAAAGTAGTCCAACAAAACACCCAGTGAAAATACAGAAAATGTTTCACTGCAATAAAAAATAAATTTTTACAGTGAAAATACGGAAAATAAAAATACTCTATTTATTTCATCAATATTTCTCAATATATCATTTATAATTATATAGTAATCCCTACTCATTTGTCCAGAATTTCTCTCATGTCAAATACATGCATATACATATATATTTTAACCCCTATCCTGCTGAATTCCAATAATGGATTTGCCCTGCTTTGAATTTGGAACAGTCCATTCCAAGTTTAAGGGATTTCAATATGAAATACATTAATTGAGCAACCAACAGCCTGGTAAAGATGTACAGGCTGAACTTGCTCTACAATGGTGGCAAAAGCTAATTATTTTTGGTTTTGGTAGGGTAAAGGTTAAAATAAAACATGCTCTTTTTTTCTCATTTTTTCTCTTGTCAAATACATACATGTATTAAACCATAATAAGACTGTGTAACATATAATGTTTCAAATACTGCAAATAAAAGTTAACGCCATGGCGAAAGTAAAAAATAAAATCACTTGCAATACAGTCAAATACTGTTGAACCAAAAATATTTTTTGGTGTTGCGTCTAAAAAAATTGTGCTTTATAATTAAATAATAAGTGGCCTCTATTTCAACTTAAAATATTTTATCACAAATAAATGATCTAGCTAAATCACTAAGAATATTTTTTTTGATAAAGATTAAATTAGAGTATTTTCATGTATTGTTTGACTACTTGGTACACAGTACAGTCAATATGTACCGTGGCAGAACATATACAGTGCAACCTCTGCAGAGGGACCACCTTCTGTACATCAATTACCTCTTTACAGCAACTGTATCAATTATATCCAAAGTAAGATTTTACAATAAATTTAACCTCTGTAAAATTTAACCTCTCTATTTAGTAACGACCAAAAACTAAATCTCCTACAGAGCGTTGCCCTTGCTATGTACTGTATTTCTATTGTGACTGTGCCTGTACTAATATAACAATGTTAGCTTGTTTCAGTTAATAAATATTTCCTAAGCTGTCCGCACATCACCTCTTCTTAACTTTACCATTGCCAAATATAAGCTGTAAAAATCTGTCTACAACAAATGCTCCCACCATATCTGCTACAACAACACCCAACACTGTACTCCTGAACTGTAAATAAATATACATGTACCAGGTATCTCTTTATAATAAATTCTTTATCTCCTGTATTATACATTATATTTCATTCTTACACACTTCAAACTATTTTTGTTATTAAACAGGCTGAGCTATCAAGTGCATAATTGCATGTCAACACACAGAATAAGAGAAGAAATGCTTACATGTTATATGATGTCATGCACGATATTAATTAACTAAATGTCATGAAAATTACTTCTCCATGGAACAGGCATTTTAACATATTTTTACAGGTAAAGAAAAAAAATAAAGCACAGTTTTTCTTGCATATCAGACTGGCGGTTGGGTTAGTTTAACCCATGCCAGAAATTTCACCTGACATTGGGGTTGCCTGACGAGTCGCGTGCTGTACAATGGCACGCTCAGGATGACGTAATTTTACCGTTATGAATGAAGTTGAAATTTCATACGCTGTTGTAAGCAAATAGTTTACCCGAGAAATTACCTAAATTTACATGGAAAATTGTTCTATTAAGGTAAAGAATTTAAAATATAATTGAATATGGAAGAATATGCAAGAAACAATATATCAAATATGTTTGCGGTTCGTTTCTGCCCAATGGGTGGGTCCCCTTGGGACGGATTTTTTTATCGAAACCGCAACATATGACAGATGTTATTAATCTGTAACTTACATCATCAGGTAAATGAACCAGCTCGAAATATTCGGTTGCCTCTGGAAGTAGCCCACTAGCTAGACCTATAATAGCACTTCCAGAAATAGATAAACTATATAACATTGGTTTGTTGTTTCGTAAACTCTCCATAAATGGTTCACCCTGAAATTACAATATAACAATACATATAATAGCCACAGGTTGTTTATATAACCCAATCTGCTAGATGATGGTTTTATTACAATCATTTATTAACTTCTAAAAATAACCTTTTTAACAAATTTATAAAACAGCAAAATTCGTTACTAGAGGAAAAATGAAAATAACTTCATAAAATTTATATCAGCTGGTTATATACTATATAAATTATTCAAACATCATGATTATCCAATGAAAATTGATGTTACAATTTTTGTTTGTTTTGGGTTTAACATCACATTGACACAGTATAGGTCATATCGCGACATTCCAGTTTTACTGGTGGAGGAAGACCTCAGGTGCCCTTCCGTGCAATATTTCAGGCACGAACGGGCACCTGAGTAGAACCACCGACGTTCCATAAGCTAGCTGGATAGCTTCCTCACATGAAAGAATCCAAAGTCTGGATTCGAACCCACAGTGGTGAGGGGCAAGTGGTTTGAAGTCAACGACCTTGATGTTACAAATGAGCAGTGTTATAATAAACAGTAAAGTATGACAAACCTTATAATTGACAGCAAATGTAGATAGCTGTAGTGACATTGATATGAAATATACAGTTGTGTTGAGTAAATTTGGTGCAAACTTTGCTTCTAAATCAACTTTCTCCTCCCTGTAACAATAAAATAATCAATATGTAAAATATTTCTACTCTACATAATATATTCCAAGTTTTTGCTAACTATGTAGACAGTTAATTTTAATTGACCTTGTGTAGGCTTAAAGCAATAATATTGTATAATAATACAGCATAGCAAAAAATAAAAGAATAAATGCACGTCAGTCTATACCAGGTAAGGATTTTCCTACACTGACACTTAACAGTTAATATGCCAAACCCTGGAGAATCAAAGGCAATTTTTTTATTCCTTACTCTCTCTAACAGTTTTAATTGGGCAGGTTCTTCTTAAATGTTTGTTTGTTTGAGTTTTAAGTCACACTGACACAGTATATGTCATTTGGCGACATTCAAGCTTTACTGGTGGAGGAAGACCTCAGGTGACCTTCCGTGCATTTATTCAGGCACAAACGGGCACCTGAGTAGAACCACCGGTGTTCTGTAAGCTAACTGGATAGCTTCCTCACATAAAAGATTCTAGTCCCTGTCGGGATTTGAAACCACAGCAGTGAGGGGCAAGTGGTTTAAAGTCAACAACCTTAACCACTCGGCCACAGATGCCCCTTTCTTCTTAAATATTACAGCATCTAGTAACATTGGGACAGTGAAGACTAAATTTCTATCATGCATTATTCTAGTCACCTAAGTAGAACCACCAACCTTTTGTAAGATACCAGTAGCTGGATAACTGTCTCTTGTAAGGGTATTTGAACCGACAGTGGTAAATGATTTGAATATCTGCAACCTTAATAGGTCTCATTTTGTACTGATTCATACACACTTACCTTGGTTCAAGTATTTGAGCTTCTTGGACTAGATAAAATAGTGACACAAAATGTATGGCAAATTGTAATAACACTGTCAATATAGTGTACATGTTAAATATATTTGGTAGAGGGCGCTGTTTTGACAGGTACTTCAATGGCTGAAATAATAAAGCTTTTTGTTAATTTAACATAAACTAATTATTATAAAAAATTTATTACAGTTTAAAATGTTGAAGTTATAAAAGTGGGACTATAAAGCGAAGCCTGTTTAAGTCAAGAAGATTTTTTTTGAGGATTTAATACAGTGACAGTTGTCATAATACAATATATAAAAAAACATAATAAACATACACATGTATTTATTTTCTCAAATTGTCATTGGCCATCATGCTCTGTAATATTGTAAGAATAAAATCCTTTACTCTAGCCATCTCTTATAACTGTATGTATGTTTTACTCTTTGACCTTGTAATAAATAGAAAACGGAAAATTCTAGTCATCTATTATATAAATGTATTTGTCTAACCTTTGACCTTGAAATAAACAGGAAGCATCCTGCTAGGAGGAGGCCCTGCATGGTAGCTTGAGTGTCGCTAAATTTAACCCCAGCTAAAAATAGAACACTTTGACTGTATGCTAGGATAAGAGCATTCAATGCTAGAATCTTGAACATCTGTAATGTGGTGACCAGAGTACATCGCCCTTGCTTTATTATATGACATACTGAAATATAGATAAAATATAATACATCTAGAGTACATCGCCCTTGCTTTATTATATTATGACATACCGAAATATACATAAAATGTAAGAAGTCTAGTGTACATCGCCCTTGCCTTATCGTATGACAAACTGAAATATACAGTGCAATCGGGATACATCGAGATCGTCGGGACTTGGCATGGTTCCTCGTTATAACCGGGTCACGCTATAACCAGGACAGAACAAATTGAGAAATCCAACACCGTTGAGCATTAATTATTTCTTTTTTCGTTTTCGCGTACATCCTCTTTGAAGAGTACATAATGGGAGTTAACTCTTTGCATTAAGATGTTTTTGTTTAATTTAAATATACATGTATATAAATATATCTAGCTATTATTATATTAAAACAAAAAAAAAAGAAAAAAAAAACATAATACGCCTAACTGCAGGTATCTCTATTAATATGCACATTTTAAATTTTTGTTTTCAAAATTCAAGCAGTGTATTTCTCACAAACACCGAATACACTGCATGAAAGTAGCCACTTCCTTTGTGCTTATCACTCAAACAAAAGTTATTTTGTTAAAACATTTCGTCACCTAGAAGACAATTTAGCCCGGAGCCCCACAGAACAAGGCTGACACATTTGATAACTAATAATTGCTTTCTTAATTTACCTTTGTTTTCGGGTACAATTGCTTTTCTCAAGGTGACAAACGATGTGTCAATGAAGTGACCTTGTTAAAATTATGAAAAATATGCATGGGACAGCGAATATATGTACGTTGTTACCGATATCTCGCTAACACTGATCTCTTTATAAACGGTATCAAATGGAAGGAAAATAGAAGGAAAAAGGCCGGGACACAGTAGAATGTACGTTATAAGCGGTACCTCGTTAAAACTGATCTTGCTATAAGTGGAGTACACTGTACATAAAATGTAATATATCTGGAGTACATCTAATACTGAAAGAGCAGTTTATCTGTATTTCTAGACAAATATATGAGAGTAGGCAGGTAATCAGAATGGTTTTCTAGAGCAATTAAGTTCTGGTGAGTGGCAAATTTGAGCAAACATGAACAATTACACTACATAACTTACTACACATTATGGTAGATAGTTTAGATGTAAATGGTGAAGCTATACTAGCATCTCCAAGTCGAACAACCGCAGCTTTCTCTTCTTCATCTAATTCTTTCAACATGTTCTGTAACTTTTTCTGAAATATGAAAATCATCTCTGATTTATATCATACATAACCAATGACAATGAACGAAAAATACAAATGTTTAAATAAATTGTCATTTGCTTTTCTTATATTCTTCATTTCTTCACTTGTTTTCTGTGGATACTGAAAACAATATTACACATACTATTCCTATATTAAGAAACTTTGGTCATTATGACAGAACATCTGCTTAACTTGACAGTACTAAATTATTCAACTAATTTTCTGGTTTGTGTGGATAAATCAATCCATGAATCACATTATTTACATTTTACTTTTTGGAAAAATAGAAAGTCCACAAATTTAAGAACCCACGGAAATGTTCTTTGTGACAAAAACATGGAATTAAATGCCAACGAAATTAAGTGAATTTACAGTAATCATATAAAAACAATCTTTTCATGCATGATTCATATACCATTCTGCCAACCCTGCCAAATAAGCCAGCAGTGTGTTGCTTCGGCTCTTTAAATAGCATGGGAACTGACCGACTAAGTGCATGGGCATTTAACATGTAAATGGAAGTCCCCTTTTTGGGGATTTAATAATCCAAATTTCGAAAGTCTCTATGATGGGGCTGGAGGAAGGGAGGTCTTTGTGTGTGTTAGGGGGTGGGGGGGGATGGGGGTTTGTTCACCAGATAAAAATTTTTCACACACCGTTTCCTTGTGTATTAATAAATGTACATAAATTACACCTTTCCAATATCAGTTGAGAAGTTGTTTATTGCATATTATACCTGAGATGGTGCCATGTTGTCACCTCTTGCTATAGCTCTCTGTTTTGCTGCCCGACCCATTGCCTTACCCCCACTTCTGCTTGACAACTTCTCAGCCATGTTACTTGAATGTGCCTCATTCTCCTTAAAAATATCAAAATAATCTTCATTTCTTTTACAAAACAAAAGCAGAAGTAAAGTCTGTACATTATATAACTCGGCAATATGCTTAAAATGTAACAATCACTTGTCTTATCTATAAGTTATACAACACAAATCAAATAGTAGAATACAATAACTTTCTTTCAATTAGAGTACATGATAACATTTTATTTTTCTCTAATTATTTCTGTGATATAAATATTCAGAACGATTGCAAATTAAAATGTTCAAATTTTTGCAACCTGAACTAAATATAGTACACTTCTACTGACTTAAGTCAAAATGTTCCTTAAATAGTGACAAGAAAAATAAAGAAATATCATTAACACTACCTCTTCTCTCTTTTGTTTTTTCTCTGGCATCCTCTCTGGTGCATTTGTCAATAAGGCCACCCCTGTAATATCATTATAATAACATCATCACTCCCTAAACCAATCATTTTAGAACAAACCCTTAAATGGACTCCGCTGAGTTTTTTACACAAAGAGAATTTTTTTTCTTCAGAATTTGGTCACCATTTGATGTCGGTATGGACTAATACCTTCTCACTAGCCAGATAGAAAAATCCGTAAATAGCGGTGTTGGAAAATCTTATCTCACATTTCTAAAAACGTATTCCTACACAAACGCGATTCACTCCTATTTAAACAAAAATGAAACGTCGAAAGGTCAAAATGTATTAAAAATATGTGAGGTAATCTATTAAATTGTCCACGGAATCAAAATAGATTGATATAAACTTTCTCAATGCAATGAGTCCTTCTCTACCTAGGTCCGCCCTTGCCAATTTCGATCTGTTACTAAAAATAGCACACTTTAAAATATCGCAAAATTCTTCGTAAAATCGGATATTATGACACTTTGCCTGAAGAACATCCTTGTTTTCTGTTATGATAACGATGCTTCTCGGTGACAATCTTATTTTGATATATTTCAATTGAATATTCGGCCAAAATAACCGAATAAGTAGAATAATCTTTGCAAACGGTAAACACTTTTTGGCAACCATTTAAGTACAGTATGGACTGAATCCCTTATAAACACTTATATTATGACACTTTCCGACTTTAATATTGATGTGTTTTTTCAAGATAACCTTACTTTTTGATGAGGTATCTCATATAAATTCATTTTCATTGAATTGTTCACACATAAACTTGGTCATTGGATTTTTTTACGGGCGTACGTCAGGCGCCTAAGCCCCGCCCCGCTTTTCAAAACTAGGGCGTAGCAAGTAGATCTAGTTTCACTGATATTTATTGTGTCCAGGTGAGTGAGAAAAATAATCAATCATTGGGTTAGATAGAGGATAGGGAAATCCCAACCCTCGGGCAATCGGTTCCATCGGGAACTCGCCAAGGCTCGTTCCCGAGGAACCGATCACCCTCGGGTTGGGATTTCCCTATCCTCTATCTAACCCAATGATAGATTCTATTATTGTGTGCAAAAGTTCACATCATTCCTTTTCTTTGTTTTCCCAGAATAATTATCTTTATCATGCATGATGAAAAAACGCATCTCTTTCAAACTGGGGTGAAAATCATGCAACAAATGGATTTTCAATATAACTCTGAGTATATTTCTTTATTATCGTTTGCATATTTTTCCACTATAAGTGTATCACATGATCTATACAAGAATTTCAAGTCTTACATCTTTAGGCTTTTTTAACTCACTGAAGCTCCTTTAAGTTACTTAATTTCTTATATGGACTTGACCAGCTTCCATTTTTTGGAACTGTCCATTATCAACTTCAGGGATATCTAATTTAAAATTTTAAGTAAGTCGGCCAACAGAATAATGTCTGGTTAGATTGCATGAATGGCAAAGACTAATCATTTTCAGTTCTGGCAGGTTATTAGCTAATATTCAACTAATGTAGGACTAGGTGAGTAAAATAAAAAATTCAGCTTTTTAAAATATCTTCTTTGTGGCCAATATGTTCAATTATGACTTATTGCACAACAATCTTGGAACCTGCAATGAACTGATTCCCTGGATGAAAATTAGTTGTGTATGATAAGTATGCCACATAAGATAAGACTTGCCACATTTACAATGGTAATAAATCTATTAATGAACCAAAATAGATAAATCATTATTTAGTGTCAAATTACATCAGAACACCATAAAATAAGACATGAAAGTTTGAAACATGTGTTTACTTACCAACATGAGCATGTTTCAATGCACCAACATCGTTTGTACCATCCCCACACATCAATGTTATAAAACCAAGACTCTTCAGTGTTGTAATAACAACTTCCTGTAAACAACAACAACAACAACAAAATATTCTAACTTCTTTGTGTCATATATCCATCATATGATTGCAAATATAAAGTACTTAGTTTAGTTTAAATACATTTACTTGATTGTGATATACACATGTACATTGTAGTTTCTTGCAACAAATCTATATCTTTCTATAAATATTCCAATAATGTTGAACATGTCTGCACGTCAAAATCACCAGAAAGTTAAAAAAAGAGTTGTTTAAAAGTATATATAAGAAAAATTTGAGTCCACTTCCTGGAACAGACCAGTACTGGTGTCATATGAGGAAACATGGAAGTAACCCGAGTAGGGCTCAAACCCATAATCACTGGGTTGAGAGGAAGGCCACTTAGCCAACAGGCAACTGCTCCTTCTTAATATGACAAATATAAGATATTTGAAATAGAATTTGAATATAGACAGCATAAGTATGTGTATTCAGAAAATACATGTAACTATACAGTCAACTGGTAAAAGATTATTATAAAACATTTTATATTTCCCAGCATATTTTGATGTAGAGAAGGCAACTATCTGTCCCAATATTATCTCATATAATGGTATGATGAGCATTATGTTCTCATAATAAATATCTTCTACTTACCTTTTGTTTTGGGGCAACTCTAGCAAAAACTTTCACGTTTGGCAGTATAGTTTTCCACAGTTTTTCAGAATGATTTTGCAGGAAAGTAAGTGCCTACAAAACAAACATAACAACATAAGAGACAAAGCTATAAAATAAACAAGAGCTTCACTGAGGTGGAGCAACAGTTATCACTGACAAAAATATGCCTTTAAATTTATTCCTCAAAAATTATTCCTTCGAAATTTATCCTGATGAAACCAGTAATTTTACAGAAAATTAAACAAGAGGGCCATGATGGCCCTAGATCGCTCACCTGACTTATCAAACTCATCCAAACAATTACCTAGACAAGCATTCTGACCAAGTCTCATGACAGGTGAGTCAAAAATGTGACCACTACAGTGTTAACAAGGATTATCCATATTTGAGCAGTGCGACCTAGTTTTTTACCCAGGTGACACATATTCAAACTTGACCTAGAAATCATCAAAACAAACTTTCAGACCAATTTCAAGGATACTTGGATCAAAACAGTAGCAACAAGTGTTAACAAGATTTTTCTATTTTTAGCTCCGGTGACCTAGTTTCACATGCGATTTCGAACTCATCGAGCAATTACCTGGACAAGCATCCTGACCAAGTTTGATGATAATTGAGTCGAAAATGTGACCACTAGAATGTTAACAAGGTTTTTCCATATTTGGTCTTTGTGACCTAGTTTTTCATCCAAGATGACCCATGTTTGAACTTGACTTAGAAATCATCAAAACAAACTTTCAGACCAATTTACAGAATATTTGGATCACAACAGTAGCCACTAGAGTGTTAACAAGATTTTTCTATTTTTAGCTCCTGTGACCTAGTTTTTCATCCGAAATGACCCATGTTCGATTTAATCCCAGCAATGACCTAGACAAGTTTCCTGACCAAGTTTGATGACAATTGGGTCAAAATTGTGACCACTAGAGTGTTAACAAGGTTTTTCTATTTTTAGCTCCTGTGACCTAGTTTTTCATCTGAGATGACCCATGTTCATACTCATCCGTCCAAGTACCTAGACAAGCATCCTGATTAAGTTTGATGACACTTGTGTCAAAAATGTGACCGCTTGAGTGTTAACAAAGTTTTTCTATTTTTAGCTCGGTGACCTACTTTTTCATCCGCGATGACCCATGTTCGAACTCATCCGAGCTTTCACCTAGACAAGCATCCTGACCAATGTTGATATTGATTGAGGCAAAAATGTGACCGCTAGAGTGTTAATAAGGTTTTTCTATTTTTAGCTCCGGTGACCTAGATTTTCATTCAGGATGACCCATTTTCGAACTCATCCAAGCTATCACCTAGACAAGCATCTTGACCAAGTTTGATGATGATTGATGCAAAAATGTGACCGCTAGAGTGTTAACATGTTTTTTCTATTTTTAGCTCTTGTGACCTAGTTCTTCATTCAAGATGACCCATGTTCGAACTCATCCGAGCTATTAACTAGATAAGCATCCTGACAAAGTTTGATAATGATTGAGGAAAATGTGACCGCTAGAGTGTTAACAAGGTTTTTCTATTTTTATCTCATTTGACCTAGTTTTTCATCCGAGATGACCCATGTTCGAACTCATTTGAGCTATTAACTAGAAAAGCATCCTGACAAAGTTTGATGATGATTGAGGCAAAAACGTGACCGCTAGAGTGTTAACAAGGTCTTTCTATTTTTTGCTCCGGTGACCTTGTTTTTCATCCAAGATGACCCATGTTCGAACTCATCTGAGCTATCACCTAGACAAGCATCCTGACCAAGTTTGATGATGATTGATGCAAAGATATGACCGCTAGAGTGTTAACGAGGTTTTTCTATTTTTAGCTCCGGTGACCTACTTTTTCATCCGAGATGACCCATGTTCGAACTCATTCGAGCTTTCACCTAGACAAACATCCTGACCAAGTTTGATGATGATTGAGGCAAAAATGTGACCTCTAGAGTGTTAACAAGGTTTTTCTATTTTTAGCTCTTGTGACCTAGTTTCTCATCCGAGATGACCCATGTTCGAACTTATCCGAGCTATTAACTAGATAAGCATCCTGACCAAGTTTAATGATGATTGAGGCAAAAATGCGACCGCTAGAGTGTTAACAACTAAATGTGAACGGACAACGGACAATCATCGATCCTAAAAGCTCACCCTGAGCATGCTCAGGTGAGCTAAAAAGGTACATAACTCTTTTAATAATAACGTGATTGCAGCGAAAAAATTAGTTTCATTATTTTCGTTAATACAAGAGCTGTTTATGTTTCAAGTTAAGAAAGGCGAATAATGCATGCAGCCTTTATAAAGTAATGAGTAATAAGTTACCTCCCCTGTCAGACACAGATCATATTTCTCAATCAGCTGTTTACGTAGATCACCACTAGGTTGTAGTGGTAAAGTCACACTGTCATCTATAGACTTCCAGCACCATTCTGTCTCTATAATATAGTAGTTTTATTTTGTTTATAAATATTATATAACATGTATAGTATTCCTTTTTTTTAAATTTTTTTTTCAGGCACACTGACAATGTATAGGCCATATCTCATGTTTTTGTTCAGGTTCCCCTCTGTGCATTAGAGCAGGTACATGCGGGCTCCAGAGTAGAACCACCAATCTTTAATAACAAAAATCATTTTTATTAAGTTTGGTAAAAGACTATTAAGTTTTGAAGTTTATGCTGTAAGCAATGGACCATCACAAAAGCTCAGTTCTGAGCTTAAGGTGCTAAGATGCGCTAAAAATAAACTGAATATAACAGTTTCAAAATTTTCTTCATACAGTACATAATTACACCAGGAACAACTTTTTCTTGTTTAATTAACAATTAAGGCCAAGATAAATACTAACGTGTATTATGTGGTGGCTGTAAAACAACAGTATGTTCTTTGCGTGTAAATCTCAGTTCCTTAGCAACATGACACGCTGTAAGTGGATTATCTCCAGTTATCATTGCAACCTGTAAAAATATCAAATCATAAACACTTTTTTTACAAACTGTATAAGAAAATTAACATTATCAAATCTGTTGGTTTCCATCTTGATTTTATACAGCCTCTCTAGTCCATAAAGTTCGATATCAAAAAAAGGATATCCATTTCTAAACAATGACATAATATTTTCTCACTGGCCTCAAAACGTGTTTAATTTGTTCAGTTTTAACTGTAAAAAGGCCATATAGAAAATTTCAGGTTATTAGTTAAGTATAGTTTTGTGGATTATTTCACGTACAAGCTGGCACCTGACATAACCATATCTTCCTCACATGAAACAGTTCAAAATCCCCGACATAATCTGAACCCATATAAACAACCGTAATTATCTGTTGCAATGTTTTTCCCCCAAATCTTTTGTGAATAGGTCCGAGACTTTGATTTGTGAAAACTAGCGCCATAATGCCATTATCTCTGTGAATTTTGTCCTGTTTCCTACTGTTAAACTTGGTTATTAAATTGGAGTGGTTATTATATTGGAGAAAAAGTAATCATGTGATGGAAAAAAGTCTTGATTCATGATAAACACTTTATTAAATAATTCTCATCATTGGTATGGTACTGTTTCTCATGATATTTTCATTCTCTGACAATTTTGTCAATGATGACAATTCAACAATTGAGAATTTTCATCAAACAATTATGGAAAAAGACGCTTTGTTGTCTCGTGAATTTGATCATATTATGGCCCCAATTGTGCAAAAAAAAAACAACAACACATGAAACTATTGACTCAGCATTAAAATTTCATCAAACAATTGTGGAAAAAGACCCTTTGATTCAGCATTAACATTTAGATGACAGAATTGGTCAGACAGTATTGGACAAACAATTAATCATTACTTACATGATGTGAGGCATTCTGGATTTCCTTGATAACTGCTTTAGAGTCTGATTTTAGCGGACAAGAAATGACGACAAATCCACAAAACTCCAATTTACACTCTACTTCATCCCTAGTCATCGCTTTCAACTGAAATATACATAGGGATATTAACCCTTAAAGTGCTGGAACCGAAAGCATTAAGCCTTTGCCACCAGTATAGAGCCAGGCCAGCCTGCATGTCCGTGCAGTCTGGCCAGGCTCTATACTGTTGGCTGACAAACTTTAATTATTCAAATTGATATCCCTAAAATTGATAATGGACAGTCCCAAAAATGGAAGTGGGACAAGTCCATTTAAAATATTCAGCATGTTCAGGGTTAAATGAGTGTAGATTCAATACTTAATTTATTGAACATGTTAAATAAAATTATACAATTCAAGCCTCTGTCAAAAACAACTAGAACATTCTAATATTGCTGACCATAAAAATATATTAGAAATAACTTATACTAATTTAGCTTTCCATCAATAAAATAAAATAAATGAACTGTTTACCTCTTGATGTGATAGATGTCCTATTTTTTTATAGCCAAGTGCAAGAATACGAGCTCCACGTCTTGCCATCTCTAGATATACATCGTCATAGTAACTCGGTGGATTACTGAACTATAAATGTAACATTACATCACATTTACATGTAATTCCTGATTAAAACATTTTTGAAATTAGTAAGATTTTACCATTGAGTTGACATCATGTGAAAACAACAAACTCCTTTATTTAGTCAGCACATATGGCCTAAAAGGTTGGGTTTTTTTGGTCAGGAATTAAACTTATGATGATCACACAGTCGAGCACCTATAGTTTATACAAGTGAGATTTACTACATTCAGGAATACCAAAATGCAATGCAGTCTGTATGCTGCATTCTAGCCATAAATCTAAGTTCAGCAAATGTACTGTATTGGGATCATTCTTTAGAGATAAGACAGAGTATATAAAAGAGGTATTACATAATTACATTTTTGTTTTGTTATTACACATGTTCATATATCGTAGAGTATGAAATCAATGATACAAATTGGGAGTTATATTCTACCTGAAGAAATACTTTAAAATCTGTATTTATTATACATTAACCCTTTAAGTGCTGGACCCGAAAGCATTAAGTCTTTGCCACCAGTATAGAGCCAGGCCAGCCTGCACATCCGTGCAGTCTGACCAGGCTCTATACTGTTGGCTGAAAAATTTTAAATATTCAAATTGAAATCCCTAAAATTGATAATGGACAGTCTCAAAATGGAAGTGGGACAAGTCCATTTAAGATATTCAGCATGTTCAGGGTTAATAATTATATCTGGTCTATTTAGGATTATTACAATAAAACATACAACAAAGTAAGTATAATACCATAGATTTGAGTGTTTCTGGGGCACCTTTCACTGCACACATGTACTCTGTTTCCGTAGAACCAACAGGTGTATGACCTGCGATCACTGACATACGTTTAAGGGCACTAGAGAAATGGTAACGATGAAATATCTTCAAACCGTGGGTCTTCCTACGCTGAGGTATTACCGTCTCTCCTAATATACAACAATGACACATATATCTGTGACAAAAATAGATACTACACAATGTATATTTGACTCAGGAAAAACTTTAAGGAAAATGACAATAATCAGTTTTTTTAAGTTTTTTTAAGTTGAGTTTTACATCACACCAACACATTAAGATCATATCTTGACTTTCCAGCTTTACTGGTGGAGACACACCTCCTGTTCCCTTTTGTGCATTATTTCAGGCAAGAGTGGACACCTGATGAGAACCACCGATGTTCCATAAGCTAGCTAGATAGTTTCCTCACATGAAAGAATCCAAAGTCTCTTGGGGTATTCAAATTCACAGTGGTGATGGGTAAGTGGTTTGAAGTCAGTGAAGTTATCCACTCAGCCACAGAAGCCCCGCAATGATTTCTTTTTACCTTAGTAACATTAGTCAGAGCAAGCTATGGATCTGGTTTAAATCATGATTTAATACCTTAAAAGTCATATAAAAATATATAGTAAACTATCCACACACAGACAAACTTGTATTAATACCTTTAGTCAGAGTAAAATCAACAGCCTTGAGAGTGGCTTTCTCAAGTGGGTCACCAACAAGTTCATCTTCTAGCTGTACTAGAGCATGGCATGTGGCCAGAACATGTACAGTCTCTAAAGGAGCATCTACAGCTGCCTGTATCTCATTTCCCCTGAAAATATACAAATCATATTTTTGTTTCCCTGAAAATATACAAATCATATCTTGTTTCCCTTGAAAATATAAAATCACATCTTGTTTCCTTTGAAAATATACAAATCATATTTTGTTTCACTTGAAAATATACAAATAACATCTTGTTTCCCTTGAAAATATACAAATCATATTTTTGTTTCCCTGAAAATATACAAATCATATCTTGTTTCCCTTGAAAATATAAAATCACATCTTGTTTCCTTTGAAAATATACAAATCATATCTTGTTTCCCTTGAAAATATACAAATCATATCTTGTTTCCATTGAAAATATACAAATCATATCTTGTTTCCATTGAAAATATACAAATCATATATTATTGTTACCCTTGAAATGTACAAAACATATCTTGTTTCCCTTAAAAATATAAAAAGCATAACTTGTTTCCCTTGAAAATATACAAATCATATCTTGTTTCCCTTGAAAATATACAAAACATATCTTGTTTCCCTTGAAAATATACATATCTTGTTTCCCTTAAAAATTTACAAATTGTATTCCAATTCACATGAATGCATATACAAGTTGTATTTTACTTCCCTTAAAAAATATAATAATTGTATCTCATTTCCCATGAAAATAAATTCAACTTATTTCTCATATCCCCAAAAATATTCAAATTATCAAAGTGTAACTTATTTCCAATAAAAATAATACAAATTGTCAAACTGTATCTCACTTCCCTTGAAAATGAACAAGATGTTGTGATTTAATGTGAGCTTATACATTACCCGTACAATTTTTATGTTTTATCATTACATACACTTTAGAGATGAATTCTTTTGACTTGTTCACTTACTTGAGACCTGTGACACCTTCGACAACCAGATTATCAGCTGTTAGAGTGCCAGTCTTGTCAAAACAACATATATCTATCTTCCCAGCAAAAGGAATTCTAAATGGTTCTGTACAGTACACATCTGTTCAAATATAGACAATTCATGCTGATGAATTACATTACACAAGACAAACTACATTTAATTGCATTAAAGTTTTGTAACTTTTCACAATTTAACCACGAGACCTAGTTTTTGACAACTCAGACCTATAATCCATCAATGAGCTTGATTATTTATAAGCAGGATTGAATTTTAGGTGTTTTAAAGACTGAAGTTGCAGTTTTTTTATGACAATAGTTTACACTTGAGCACTTTAAAAAACCTGACTTTGTTATGCAGAAACAAACATGAACAGCCAATAAGAAATTACATAAAATACAACAGTAAACTATTGCAAGTTATCAGTTAGAAAACCTGTGTAGATAAAGTATATACTTAAATATTATACTCATGTGTATACCCGATAATGAAATGTAAAAGTGACAAAATTTAACGTCACCTTTCTATCTACTGAAACAAGCAATTATCATAGTATTGCAAGCAATCCATAAGTCCCCTACCGGTTAGAACCCCATCAACATTCTGAAGGGCCATTGGCCATTCACTTATGTTTCAATTTTTCTCTATTTTAAGTAAACTTGTTGGAAAAGTTCTTTAAAAGTGATCACAGGAAACAGTTTTTATGAACAGACAGACAGACGGACTGAAGGACACTCTAAAGTTAATATTTGAAACATCCCTGTTACCAAAATATAACATTTTAAAAGCAAAATTCTTAAATAGGAGATAACTCTTGACTTAAAGATGCAATTTCATAAAAATTTTCAGCTCTTTTTGACTTATCACAAATATTGTTATATTTGCCATCTTTTAAGCCTATTTGTTGCCAAGGCAACTGATATTTTTTCAAAATAGGAAGAGAACATATAAGACATGCATAATATCAAGACTGCCATCTACCCATATGTCAAGTTTCATAAAAATATTTCCAGTACTTTTTGAGTTATCACTGGATTCAGTTTATGTGTAAAATTTGCCATATTTTCAGTATATGTGTTGCCATAGCAACCAGAATTTTCAACATAGGAAGAAAATAAAAAGACGTGCATAATCTCAAGACTGCCATCTACCCATATGTCAAGTTTCATAAAAATATTTCCAGTACTTTTTTGCTTTATCACTGGATCCAGTTTATGTATAAAATTTGCCATATTTTCAGCCTATTTGTTGCCATAGCAACCAGAATTTTCAACATAGGAAGAAAAGAAAAAGACGTGCATAATTTCAAGACTGCCATCTACCCATATGTCAAGTTTCATAAAAATATTTCCAGTACTTTTTGCGTTATCACTGGATCCAGTTTATGTGTAAAATTTGCCATATTTTTAGCCTATTTGTTGCCATAGCAACCAGAATTTTCAACATAGGAAGAAAAGAAAAAGACGTGCATAATCTCCATACTGCCATCTATCCATATACCAAGTTTCATAAAAATATTTTCAGTACTTTTCAAGTTATCGCGGGATCCAGTTTTGTGGACGGACGGACTGACGGACTGACAGACAGACGGACGGACGGACAGACGGACGGAGGGTAAACCTAAAGTCCCCTCCGGTAAACCGGTAGGGGACTAATAATGTACTGGATATACAAATGCTTGTATTGTAAGTCTATTTTAAACATAACACATGCTTTAAAGCAGCCTTCAGTTTTTCTCAAGGTAAAATATGTTATTTTTAGATAAAACGTTTTATGTATTTGTTCAATTAAAAGAATTAAGGTGTAAAATGAAATTTGCCGTCAATAAAAAACAAACAATAAGGAAACCCATTGATACATCTAATTTACAGGTCAGCTCTATATGTAAATAAGTAAAGCAAATGATTCATTTTCTGATCTTCTATTTTTAGAAACAAATGTCACTGATGTCCTATAAATAGCTCTCTGGACGCTTTATAAAGAATGCCAAACAGTGCACTTTTCCAAGATAAAATTACTGAAATACTAAGTTTGAAACAACACAGAATTGTTTTTCCAACAAAAAAATAAAAGTTGAAGGCCTCTTTGAAAAATAAACCTAGATGTGATATACATATATACTTACATAGTTTTGTTAGAGCTAGCAGACTTGTATTGACAGCCAGTGAGAGCTCTATAGGTAATTCAGGGGGGACAACTGATGTCAGTATAAGTGTACATTCTAAAAATAACTTGTATCTGTTCCTATCAGGATCTTCCGTTCCTGTAATAGCATAATATACATGATCAAGTTTATAAATTTGTGATTTCTCTCATCCTTTTTGGTATAGTGAAATGATATATAAAGTAAAAGAATTTCTCATTACCTCCCTTAGACCAAAAAATCAGTGATATTTATTTTACAGAGAAACTTAGTTGATCCTAAGTAACAGGTTACAGTTCTTGCAAGTCCAAGTAAATTACTGGTCTTAAGTAATTCCTTTCACTAGAAGGATAACTTTTCATAACAAACAACTAGGACAGCATCAACTGAGTGGGGTCTCTGTGTACAAGTAGTTATGTTAAGAGACTTTGAACTACTGGTTGCTCAATGCCATGGGTTCAAATCCAACCAAAGACTGTTTTGTCTAAGGAAACTAGCTAGCAAGCTAACAGAAGATATATAGTTATACAAAGGTAACTCTTGTGTCTGAAATAATGTTCAGAGAGAGGTCTTCTTTCCAGCTGGAAAGCTTAAAAGTTGCCATATGACATTATCAGCCAGATTTAAAACCTGCTATATCACATAAAACATTGCACAGGAGTGTAATAAAGCCATGTAATGAAAATGATATTAATCTAGTGTAACAACACTTTGACATCACACCATTTGCATTATACCCATTATGTATAAAGCACGCTAATGTTAGCGTTACACTTTAAGTGTGTCAATAAAAAATGGATTTTTTTAAACTGTTAACAAGCGCTCTTACTTTTTGTGATAAACCGAATATTACTTGTTTAATAAATTGAGTATTAAACCTACACTCATTCAATATCCCCTATTTTTCAAATAAACCAGACAAAATAGTGTAAGATTTTGTTACCTTTAATCCAGACATATGATGCAGCTATAATAGCGAAGATGAGCAGGAATAATATGAAGAAAAATGTCTCCAGATTGTTAGCTGTTACTCTTTTAACTCCGTATAGAATAGTTCTCAGTAGTTTCCCCTGGTTTGTGTTGAAACTATGACGTAAAACATATGCTATACACCCATTGTCTGTAGCTGTAAAATGATAACTTGTATTTAACCACATTATTATCATTTAAAGGTGCAATATTATCAGTATATCATAATATAAGCCTATATGAACTGTAATGAGGGACCCTTGTACAAAATATTTTCGGAAATATTTTATCAAAATATATAATCACCTTTTTTGCCTATTTCAAAGCAATGCAACCTTTATTTTCTATTGTTTGGTTAAGAATTTTAGGGAGTCTAATATAAACCTTACACACATTTCAAATGTATTATTTTTTTTAGAAAAAGGTGTAATTTATTGTTTGTAGAGCTTTGAACCTTTTCAGAGTGAAAAATTTTGCTTTTCAATGTATTGCAATAAGTAATGCAATACAAGTTGACTATATCACAATATGGTTTTACCTTTCATTGCACCTCTAATTATCATAATGCAATACACATGTACAATAATCAATCAAGGTTAGATTTTATTCATAAAAAATACCAAGACTTATGAATTTAAAAACAAATGTTACAATAAGAATCCATAAAGTCAATAGACCTGTATTCCATACAGAAAAGTTTTAAGAGGTTAACGGGTAACACTGAACCTGCCATAGAGTGATCAGCCTTATTGCCATCAGGCTAGAGCCAGGCCAGCCTGTACTTTTGTGTAGTCTGACCAGGCTTGATTCTGTTGGTAGGTCAATTTTAAAATTTTGATGTTGAAATCAATTAAACTTTGAATGGACTGTTCCAAAATCAAAGTTGGGTAAATCCATTTCACAAATTCAAGGGATGGTAGGTTATAACTAATGTAAGGTGATAGGAAATCTTGCACTGGTGGATTTACATCTGTACCTTTAAGGCCTGTTGGTGTTTTACTGGGAGGTGTATGCTGTACAACTTTGGTCCCTCCAAACAATGCATGAAGTTTACCATCTACTTCAAGATTTAAAACATGATCTGGTTCCAAGATTTCTACTGGTTCCTAAAAGAAAATAAAGGACTTTACATAAAACATAAAGATCTTTGATGTAACCTGCTAAAATTGTTAAATAAGACTATCAATTTTATAATAAAAATTCAAAAATTCATGTTCTAATAATCATTATTTTATATATAGAGGATATTGAATGAGTTCAATACTGAATTTATTGCACGAGTTGAATAAATTTATATTATGCGAGCCTCTGGCGAGCATAATATTATTTTATTCAACGAGTGCAATAAATTCAATAATGAACTTACACGAATTTAATATTCTATTTATCACATACCCAAAATAAAGAATGTTTAAAGTGAAATAAGAGTCATTTTTCATTTACGCGCCTATAGTATAACGCTAACATTTAGCGCGTCTTAACGCTATGTTTGTAAAACGCTAATGACGTCACGTCAAAATATATGCACGGCCGTGCAATACCATATTTACAGAGTCGCAAAATCGGCACGGGTGTGTGATAAATATCTGATATTTAGCACACAGTAGTATAGTAAGTAAGGTCACCTTCATGACAGGCACAGATTCTCCAGTTAACATAGATTCATCAACTATACAAGGTCCCCTCAATAACAACATATCACATGGTATCAATCTGTCCTCGTGGGAACGCCCTGTAATATATGTGTAACAATATGTCATACCTCAAATGACTTTCCCTTTTCAATTTCCATATATACATCCTTTCACAATTAGTATTAAAAAGGTGGCATGAGGTCTCAAAAAATAAATATAAGATCACACTGGGATGCATCTAAAAATAAAACTTGGGAATCAGCTCTACATAAGATAGATGTTAATGTAAAATTTGTTGGACACAGAACACTTCCAGTGTAGTAATATATTAATTTTCTTGATGATGTTAGTGCAAGACATTATGCTTCATATAGTAAGAAAAACATAAGATCTCTCTGATGCTCTTCAGAGATTTTTCAACTTATATAACAGAGATCTATAAAAGGCCTCTTTACAATCACTTTTTTTTTTTAATTGTGAAGTTTTCCCAAAAATCTGAACGTACATCAGCTTTTATACTTCCCAAATTAACAATTTTCCCCTAAATCAAGAGGCTAAGGCCTCTTCCCAATTAAGTGAGAAAAAAACCTCTGGTGAATGACAAAATTACCTATAGAAACAATATCTCCAGGTACAAGTTCTGTAGTTAATAAAGGCCTCCATTTCCTGTTTCTATATACCTAGTGTAATATAAATAACAAGTGTGAATAAATCTATAAAGCAATTTTCAATTTAAATTTCAGAGTTGTGTAACAGAGTGTGTGTTATTTTGGAATCTAACCTTATTACTTAAATGAGTTGTGTAACAGATAATCATATGTTCTTCTTGGAATCTTATTACTTTAATACATACTGATAGACAGTATTTAAGATGTAACCAGATCATGTGCTGAATATTCTACTTCTACATCAACTTATTCTTCATGTATATAAATTTAAACTTAACATGGAGAATTAAGTTAACCATCTTAATCTTCTAGTAAACATTTTGAAAATCTTTCACTTACATTTATAAGATATGGTTTGATGCCCATTTTCCTGATCTCTGCCATGTTTCTCAGCTGTTGTTGTACAAGAGTTGCCTCGAATGCCACCAGCATAAACAAGGTGAACACACTATAATACCAGTATTCATCTAAACACCAGAGACCCACACAAAACACTTGAAATACAAAGAATGGAGCAGTGGCTCTCTCCTGAAACAACTCCATAAACCTCGGTATATCCATCATCATCCTGCATGTATAATAACATATAATTGAGCCGCGTCACGACAAAACCAACATGATGGGTTTGCGACCAGCATGGATCCAGACCAGCCTGAGCATCCACGCAGTCTGATCAGGATCCATGCTGTTCGCTATCAGTTTCTCTACTTGTAATAGAGTTGGTAAGCGAACAGATCCTAATTAGACTGCGAGGATGCGCAGACTGGTCTGGATCCATGCTGGTCGCAAACGCATTATGTTGATTTTGTCGTGACGTGGCTCATATAAAACATCAATATTGTCAAATATTACTATATTTGTAATGCAATGACATCCAACACATCAATATAGTCATATGTAATGAAATTATGTTTTTTGATACAGAACTTTAATGAAAATGCTAGGTCTACTAAGACAGTCCTACCTTTCATCAATTTTATCAAGGTAACAAACAATTTCAAATCATCATAACAGATTATTATAGAGTGGTACAGATCATATTTTACTTACAGGTTTTTACCAAATGTATTCTCAGCATGTTTAATATCATGTTCCTCCTGCAAGCCTTTACTCTCCATGTATGTTTGTATAGTTTCTGATACAGGAAAATCAAGCGGCACAAACTGTTTCTTGTCTCTTTCATACAGATATTTGGTTTTTTGAAAATTAAACCAAATAGTTTCCTGATCATCTTCCTGAAACAAAAGCTATTTATATTACCAGTAACCTAGTGTAAACTAATTAAAACATTAAGAGAGAAATTACACAAAATATAAATGTTTTCCTACTGTTTTTAAATAGAACAAAATATATTTGTTCAGTGTGTGTAAAGTTACAAATATCTTATAGATGATGTAAATTTTATTTCTTAACTTCTCATTACTTTGTATAGAAAATTTTCAATGTAAGCTCTTTAAGCACTGTAAGATCATTCAAATATTAATAGATCAAAGATTATTCTAATATCAATAAATTACCAGTAAACTTTGAACACAGTAAAATATATTACCATTATTTTATGAAGTTTAACAAGCTCTGTTGCACCACTGTTGGGAGTAGGTACAACTTTCACCCAGGATGCATCATCTGGACTTGCAGTCTACATAAATAATAAATATCAAACATTTATCTTTTAAAAATCATTTATATATAACTTCATACCTAATAATTTAGTAATAAACCAAAATTACATCATTCTAACTTTATAAACTTACTTTTTACTATAGCATTTAATACATCATGACAAAGTTTACAGCAGAAAGTATATACTCTGATTTCATATGGTCATAGATTCATTAAATAATTAGCCCAAGAAAGCCTTTATCTCTAATCTGTTTTAATGGAAAAGTAGAATAAAAACTTCCAAATGATAACAACATTTTAACACCAAGGTCACAACTAATAAACCTTTCAGTGAGGCCTTTGACAAAGTAACATACATAAACTAATTATCTGAGCGGGTGAGAGTGGTTTTGTCGAACTACCGGTTCGGCGAATTGATCTTATATAATAAAACAAGTAGTGGTTTCGGCGAACTTAATTTATATTGTGCAAACCATATCTATTGTATAATGGGCACGCCAATTGCCGTGGTTTATCACACATTTTCATGCAATTTAAGACAAGATATTGAAAATTTAAACCTATTATTTATTATTTTCTTTAGTATAATAGTAATATTTATATAAAAGCATTACACCATACAAAAGAACAACATCATAGAAATATATACACCTTTATAAGTAAAACCAGGAAAAAAAAGAATAATGATTTAAAATTTATAACAAAATACTGATGATTAAAACACTTTATATATATGAACAATGTACGTAGATCTTCTTTGCCTTTAATTACTTTATAACATAAGATCGACGAAACCACTTTCGCACCTCTTCATAAATTAAGTTCGCCAAACTGATAGTTTGACGAAACCATAATAATTCATCTGAGCTCTGGGAAGTAACAAAATTGTTACCTTTCTTATTCTACATTAATGACAATGCTATTTTTAGCACTTAATACATACAATGAAATGCTAAGAAGCATCGATTGCATGATGTAAATTTCATTTCAAATTTATATCATTAACAGAATATGTATCCATGATTGATGTATATTCGCGGTATTAGGCACATTTATGAGAAACAAGAGCCATGTCAACATGGCCATCCCCCGCCGAATGTGTTTGCTCATTGGAAGAATGTATATGTAGTAGAGCGGAATAATTCCATTTTAAGAGGTCTTTTGGTAATGAAAACTGATGGCTATAATGATAACAGATTTGAAACCTATGTGAATACTGATGGCTGAAAATAACAAAGGGCAATTACTGAAAAATAATGCAGGGTAGGTTATCATTCTTGTGTGCTGCATCCCTCCTCAGTAAAATCTATCCACCTATGAAGTTTCAAGTTGATACCTCAAATACTTTTTGAGAAAACAATTGAATTGAAAAATTAAGTATGAAAAAGAACAAAGGGCAATAACTCAAAAATTATAAAAGGTAGAGTTATCATTCTTGTGCAGTGCACACCTCCTGAGTGAGATCTATGCACCTATGAAGTTTCATTTTGATATCTCAAAGGCTTTTTGAGTTATGCTCTGGACAAAAATTACACAATGTAATTTTGAAAAATAACAAAGGGCAATAACTCAAAAATAATGCAGGGTAGAGTTATCATTCTTAAGCACTGCACTCCTCCTCATTGAGATCCATTCACCTTTGAAGTTTCAAGTTGATACCTCAAATACTTTTTGAGATAAGCTCTGGACAAAATAACATAAAAAAAAACAAAGGGCGATAACTCAAAAATTGTATAGGGAAGAGTTATCATTCTTGCACACAACATTCCTCCTCAATAAGATCTATCCACCTATGACATTTCATGTTGATATCTCAAACACTTTTTGAGTTATGCTCCACTCAGGTGAAAAATTAGGTATGAAAAATAACAAAGGGCAGTAACTCAAAAATTATGAAAGGTAGAGTTATCATTCTTGTGCACTGCACACCTCCTGAGTGAGATCTATGCACCTATGAAGTTTCATGTTAATATCTCATAAGCTTTTGGAGTTATGCTCTGGACAAAAATCAAATTTGAAAAATAACAAAGGGCAATAACTCAAAAATCATGCAAGGTAGAGTTATCATTCTTGTGCACTGCACTCCTCCTCAATGAGGTCTATCCACCTATGAAGTTTCAAGTTGATACCTCAAATACTTTTAGAGATATGCTCCGGACAAAAATGTCGGACGGAAGGACGGACGGACGGAAGGTCGGACGGACGGAGACTATTTCTATATCCTCCGCCGAAATATTTCGGCGGGGGATAATAATGTGAAAAAAAGATATATAATAAATTATACACATAATGTTTGCTTACAATTGGCCTTTTTCAATTTCAAGTCAGTTCAAGTTTCACCAACTTACACTCGTATTTGTCATTGGTAACTTTAAATAATAAGCGTCTGTCATGACGGCCGCCATATTGGAACTGTATGTTAATTCGCGGACGACTACAAATACGTCATTGTAGGTCAAATCAGTTCACATGACAAAAATTCCAGCCACTTTAAACTGAGAAAATATCAATTTTTCAGAATAATGTTGATTTTTAAATCTATTTCTTATTTGCAGTTTTATTTTGTAAACATGTAAGAAGTAGTAAAAAAACTAAAACAGCTGATAAATTCGATTTTCATCTCCCCATATGACCCTCATTTCCGGCAAAAGATTTAAGTAGGTCAAGTGCTTGCACATTGTAATCTAAACATGTGATTACATCTTAAAGTTTGATGATGACATAAAAGTTATTCTGTCAATTATATTTTGGTCAAATAGGCTTAAAGTTAGACCTAATTATTTTTTAAATGAGTCAAATGACACTTTTTGCATTAGCTTATATGGCTATCCAAAATCGGTCAATAAATATATTCATAGCCTCGGTTTGGGAAAAAAGCATGACCAACTGACCTTCTCATCTTTAAGAAATTTCCGGAAGTGGGAATTGTTTGACAAACTATTCTAAGTTCATAAAAATGGATTACTTATAAGGTCATTTGGGCATAAGTAAAATCATGTTTTTTTATACTTGTTAGAAAATAAACAATAAACTGCCCATTTTTATGTGATTTGTGATGGTTTGATACACGAAACATATGTAGACACATTTTGCGAGAAATATTACGTCAATGTCGGGCAGGTGCGACGAGATTTTACGAGATTATCCAAGTGTAAACAAAATCCGCAAATTTATATACACCGCGATTTTAGATACATCGACGATACCAATCTGCTTAAAGCCAAAAAGGATCCCTGTCAAAGCCTTTTTAAAATACAGCAGCATCTTTGACATATATGTAATAAACATGACCACCTATTATGTCTCTTAATAAAACCCTACTTTGTGACTTAGATGACATGCTGTACTTACTTTAGAACTCGTAAATACACATCTGAAGTCTACGGACCATAGACAAAATAAAGACGTCAAAATCTGTATTAAGCCGATTCCGGCTAAAACAATCAAACCGGCTTCAAAATATTCTTCAAGGCCATAAACAAGTGTCCAGTTGTAGAACCAAGCAATATATATCGTTATGAAAGGCCCAACATAACCATGTAGAAGAATATGTCGTATATTGTAGTATGCAACATATTGAATCTCATCATTGAGTGCGGAGGACGCCATCTTGCCAAGTGTTCTTCCGTGTGAGTAAAAGCTTATTCAATTGTAAAGATAAATATCAAGCGTCTATGATTAACTACAAAAAAGATCCCATGAAACACGCAAAATAATTACACTAATCTTCAAACTGAATATTATTGTAATGTTCTGGAATTTTAGTGTGAACTCTGCAAAAACAATGGTTGTAATATTTTCAAGGGGCAGGAATCGTATGGAAGATGCTCCACAATTTTCTCTTGATAATGAGAACTTAGAATTAGTACATGATTTTTCTTATCTCGGTCTTCAATTTAGGGAAAATGGTAAATTTGTTAAAACTAGAAAACGTCTTATTGAGCAAGCGAAGAAAGCTTTGTTCTCTCTCATAAAAAGCTAGACAATTGTAACTATGTGTGGATCTACAGATCCACTTGTTTAACCCAATGATTGTTCCTATTCTTTGTTATGACTCTGAAGTTTGGGGAATTGAAAATTTAAAGTGTATTGATCAGTTTCATCTTAAATTTTACAAAATTATACTTAACCTCAAGCAAAGTATTCCCAATTGTATGATATATGGTAAACTTGGAGCTACTCCGATATCTTTGCAAATAAAAAGAAGAATCATTAACTACTAGTGTAAGCTTATGAATGGTAAAGATGATAAGATTTGTAACATGCTATATAAGACTGCATACTCTGTATATGTTAGATATAGACCTGAATTACCGTGGCTTTCTTTTGTTAAGGATAATCTGGACAAACTTGGTTGATCAAATTGTTGGTTAAGTAAATCTGTACCTAGTTTGCTTAATTCCAAAAGTCTTGTTAAGTCCAAACTTGGAGATCAGTTCATCCAAAGTTGGAACAGTGATGTCTAATCTTTAAGCAAATGTTTAAACTACCGTTTTATATAAATCAGAGTTTGTATTCGAAGATTATTTTAACATACTTCCTTGGAAACTGTCTTCAGCAATGTTGAAATTTAAATGTATGAATCTTGAAATGCCAATTGGGAAAAGTAGATTCCTAAATATAGAGAGAAATTTACCTACATGTACTTTATGCGAGTCAAACCAACTGGGTGACGAATTATCACTATCTCATTTATTGTTCACATTTTGTTAAAAGTAGACATACATTTATTAAACTATTAAACCATATTATAATAGGTATCTTAATGCTTTGAAATTTGAATATCTTATGAATAGTAAAAACAAGTCACATTCAAAAAACCTTGCCTTATTTTGCAAAGAAATAATTACAACATGCAAATAAAATGTATAATATTGTTTCATTAAACCCCTATGATTTTGTTAATGAAGCATAAATTTCGGTTATTATTGAGAATGTAGTCATATCTTTATTTTATTTTACGGGTACAATATAATTGTCACTCATTCTCCTGTTTTTATGTATATTTTTCTGTGTTCCGGTTGTAACAAGTTTACAATTTTGTACTTTATGTCACATATTCTTATGAACCATGACAATAATAAATAAATCTTGAAATCTAAAAAGGGTAATGGTTAGCAATGTCGCGTAAATGCTCCCATATCTTCGGTGTCAGATTGAGAACTGTATTTTTGTAGATTTTTCTGCAAACCAGTTGTGACAGTTATCTTTTCAGTGCGCACTAATATGACAAGGGTTATCAAAGATAAATTTCTTTGAAAGACCTTGCAAAGACGTAGGTGTACCAATTTATATTCATCTTTATCGTCGCAATCACTACGCTGACATCTTATTTGACTGCCATTTAAACGCTTGTTGTACGATATTTTGATAAACTTTGGAAATGTCAGGGTTTTCCGGCCAATTATACATTTAAGTGTCCAACTTTATTTGTCATCCAATGAAAACGCTGTTTTTCTCAAATATTATGTACGTTAATTTTCATAGTAGTACAAAAGTCGATACTTTATTGAAATCCGTTCATAGTCGCCTTCTATTTTTCATAGTGCTTCATAGTACTGCGTAGTGACGTAATCAAGGGCCAAATAAAGCTTGACACTAAATATGTTAGTGTTGATCCTTAGCTGTTCTACAGAAATTAGAAACATTCTCCTGTCGCTATCGCTCCCGTCGAAGTTTCTAATTTCTGTAGAACAGCATGGATGAACACTAACATATACTTATACGTAGATAGCGAGAAATTGAATATGCTCTGATTAGATTAGTTTATCATGCAAACTTCCTCCTTCAGCGATTAAGATATTTCTGCTTTGTGAACTACCTTTACAATACAAATTTTATCTCAAGAGTGAGGCGCTTAGGATATCCCGAAAAAACACCATATACCATATTCCATTCACAATAAAGTATTAAAATCAACTGAACCTACATTAAAATTACCATCGCTTAAGATCTGAACTGTGCCAAACACATAAATAATATCACCTCCAAGGCAAAAAAAAACAAAAAAACTACAGAGAAACATTAAAACCGAAAACAGACAAACCAAGACGCCATCCTGTGTAACCTATGTAAGACCTCAACCAGAGTAAATATTACATCCTCTGCAGAAACATCTAACATACAAAGTTGAAAGTATGTAAAAAAAACTGCGGTAAAATATGTGTATAGTAACAATGATTTCAAAAGAAGTGTGACTCATATGTTATAAAATCATAAATAACCCTCCCTAGAAAGCTACATGCAGACTCCTCCCTCATATTCTGTACAAAATACGGTATAATCTTGTATATGTTGACCATAGCCACCTCATACAAAGTAGAAATTTGAACTTACTGATCCTCAGTTCCGTACTCAGTATCATCTCAGCTCCTACTTCCATAAAACACTTAGGTACTTGAATTATCTACCAGGTCAAATCCAGTCCAAGTCTAAATATCTCCAAGGAAAGACTGGTGACAACAGTCACTTTCTAGTGTCTATCGAACTTCTGCAAATGTTGTGTAAGTCAAGTTTGGGGTACAAAATCAGGGAGTCGCTTAGTTTACATAGACTTGTATTGTAAACTTATCTTTAGAATCTTCTTCTCTGAACCTACATGTACAAAGCCTGGGACTTACATATTTTGCACGAGACATCATCATGTGGTCCTCTACAAGTAATAGAAAGAGCATCGAAACACGAGGCTATCTGATTTGTACGAGGGGGCGTAGCCCCCGAGTATTAATCAGATTGCCGAGTGTTTTGATGTTCTTTCTCTTTTGTATCATAGTCAAACATAAAAACACGTTCCCTGTTGTCACAATATGAAACCCCGAGAAAAAGTAACCAATGAACGAGCATCTGAATATGATATTTATGTCGCTTTCCCTTTCTCTTCCGTCACAATAAGTAAACCCCAGCAAAAATGAGCCAATCAATGGGCATGCTCTGGAGTGCGGGTAGCTAATACCTGCACTCCATTAAACGCACTGTGCGGTGTATATGTATACGATATAACTCTGACACATTTTCATCAGAAAGGTCCCCAAACTATGATGCAAACGTTATATAAATTATGAAGAAACTAGAACTGTGTCCAAAGGACACGGGTGCCCCCACTGACAACATATATATGGTATATAGTGGAAAAATCAACAAAAAGCCATAATTCTATAAATTTGGTCGCAGCAAAAATTCCTTCCTTAACTTTTATCTACACATTAAGGTTGTTCATTCCTGGAAGTTTAAGCAAAATCTGCCATCCGGTTTAAGAGGAGTTGCGTTCACAAAATTTCTATATGGTATATAGTGAAAAAATCAACAAAGGGCCATAATTCTGTTAAATTTGGTCGCAGCAAAAATTCCTTCCTTTACTGCCATCTACACATTAAGGTTGTTCATCCCTGGAAGTTTAAGCAAAATCTGCCATCCGGTTTAAGAGGAGTTGCGTTCACAAAATTTCTATATGGTATATAGTAAAAAAATCAACAAAGGGCCATAATTCTGTTAAATTTGGTCGCAGCAAAAATTCCTTCCTTTACTGCCATCTACACATTAAGGTTGTTCATCCCTGGAAGTTTAAGCAAAATCTGCCATCCGGTTTAAGAGGAGTTGCGTTCACAAAATTTCTACATAGTATATAGTGAAAAAATCAACAAAGGGCCATAATTCTGTTAAATTTGGTCGCAGCAAAAATTCCTTCCTTTACTGCCATCTACACATTAAGGTTGTTCATCCCTGGAAGTTTAAGCAAAATCTGCCATCCGGTTTAAGAGGAGTTGCGTTCACAAGATTTCGGGACGTACGGACAGACTTACGACGGACAGACGTACGGACGGATGGACAAGTGCAACGCTATATGCTCCCCACTTTGTGGGGCATAAAAAGAAAATCATTTAAACGACAATTGGGTTTACACATCGTATTACCGGCGCCGGTGATGACAGCTTGCTGCAGTGATTACAGGTATCTAAAATTACTGATTACTAAAGGTAGTTTATAAACTTGCTTTTTATATTAATTTTATAATACGCAAATAAAGTCAATTCCAATGCTGTAGACTTACTGTCTATTGACTAAAAATATTAGACGGTAAATTTGGACATGTTTCCCCATTTCCCTAAATATTTGGAGCAGGTTAAAATGATACATGTAGCTTTGGAAAAATCTGTGAATACGTTAATTTTTTTTATCTAACATTTAAAATAAATTAAGAGACTTCTTGTTATACTTTTTTAAAAATCATCATTTGGAAATTTTTCACGCATGAAAAATATTAACCTAGTGTGTCTCTTAAGAAAGGTACAGAAGTTCAAACTAGAACGGTAGAAGTGGCGTTGAAAGGTAAAAATATATTTCCGAGGCTGTTTCACAAATATTTTTTTTTTGTCAGTACTGGACATTTGATAAAATATCCTCTGGTAAGTATTTCACCCGCATCAACACGCTTCCCTTGTATTTCTTTAAGTCCTTCCACAATAGCTTGAATTCGATTGAATATATTCTTGGCGAAGATGTGGATGTAATATAAAATTATTTCCTTCCAAATATAAAATAACTGTACGAGCTTCAGAATAAAGGTTTGCATCCATTCGATCTGTTCTTATGTCACCCTTACCAAGAATTTTCACATTTCCGGCTACACACATTTTACTTGCAGAACTTCATTTACCTGTTAAAAATATTTAACTACACATGTATCTCTAAAAATTACAAAGCCATGTTATATAGTATATGGCTATGTTGTGTATGCTGTTAATGTACATTGTGACAATTTTATAATAATGTATGACACCGAGTCACTGATTGATATCTCTCTTACCTGTTGTTACCTGAGAGTGGTATTTCTTGATTATCTGTCAGAATGTTAGCCACTTTTAGAGCGTTTCTGCCATCATCGGCAGCCTCGAAATAACATGTCTGTCAACAATGTCTTCTCTACGACCGGGCTAGTTCTGACGCCTGTAACATTCTCATGAAAAGATATTTTTAACTCTCTCAGAACATTTTACAAAATGGGAAAACGAGTCGACACTTACCTGACAGTATCCGCATTCAATGGACAGTAAGTTTATAGCAATGTGCGTAATGCAAATATATCAACAAAGTTCATAACCTACCTGTAGTATTCAGTATCTTAGATTGTTGACATCACTAGAGCCGGTTGCACGGTGTGGTTTTCAAATAAACTTCAATTGTAATACGTATGAAATAGTTGAAACTAACTCAACAGGGTGGGTAATCACGTTACATTTATAGTAAAAATAAAGATCACCGCTAATGGCCTTGCTCGTGAACTTTGCTATTTTTGGTAATATCTTTCAATATATGAATAAATAATATACATTTGTATACCATGTTTCAAGCAAATATTTGCAATTTCTAATGGTAGTACATGTACATGTTATTCTTTTACTTTTCCGTTCTGGTTGCAGAAATTATTCTATGTGGCAAAAACTTGATGAAAATAGCGGTAACATTGTGTAGCAGGCGCGTCCATTGGCGGTAATCAAAATAATGTCACAGTATACAAATGTCACACGATCACCCGCCCTGTATCGAAATGAAGTTGTTGGAAATAATTATGAAGTTTTTAAACTTTAAACTTGGATTGAAGACGGTGTAAGGAAACTTATTCAACATAACATTTGATATGTGAAAAATATTTACAAAAACATTTTAGGGGATTGGGCAAAAAGCTATAAAGCTTATGAGAAGTTGAATTCGCAAAGAAACCCCCGCCCCCCCCCAAAAAAAAACAAAAAAAAACACACACACAAAAAAAAACACAAAAAACAAAAAACAACACAACTAGTCTATTAAGAAGTACAAGGGTTCAGGTAATTTTGTTTGAAGTTTGCAAAACACATTTGGTATGACAATGATGGAACTGATTTGGTTTGACATTGTGGGAATTAATGTCTTTAATACTAGTAATCAGCTGAATGTATTGTTAAAATGAAAAAAAAAGGAGAGGCAATGATCTGTGGAATCTAAATCGAGCATTCGGCTCTCGTAAATTTAACGTGGACGAATTACCGTTTATTATTTAACACAAATCAAAGATCAATATATTCACCATATTCTAATGAAAACTTTATCATATAACTTTGAATAACGTTTTATTAATTACTTTTGTTGTTGACCTTTTTTGCTTTTTATAGTTATACCAATCCATGGGTATATACTAGTGAATGAACATAAGTTTACATTTCTTTCAATTTTGTAATTAACATCGCACGAACGATAAATAACCCAGTGGCCCAATGAATTTTCTGTAAAAAAGCCATTGGAAGTTACCTGTAATTCATAAAAAAAGAGTGGACAGTCTTTTTATATTTTAGGCAGAGTTTATTTTATCGTCAATCACCATAACCAGTCAATCTTTTGAAATATATAGATATATAGTCAATTAAGCTAAACTTGACAATAAAAAAATGAGCATAATGCCACTTTAATGAAAACTTGTGGAAAAAAAGAAAAAAAAAAGAATTTGTCCGGTTCAGGGATATTTTAGTCTGTTTGAAATCACGGTACAACTTTACAATTTTAAATGTCAATGCCAAAGGCATTTTCTAAAATAATTCATAAATGACACATATTGCCTTGAATTTTATGAAGGAAACAAGAAACACAATAAATTTAATTGCTAACATTTAGATTTAATTTTACCTCAGGTGAGCTGTTAAAACATTTCGACAATTGCCCCGGTTGTCAACCTACCGGAAACTGCGCATTTGTAAATCACGTGATACGTAAACAGCCACTGAAACTTTAGAGGAAGGTATCAAATGTCACGTGGTTATGGATGACCAATGGAAGAGATTCTAGCATTTGAAAGCGCTGGAAGCGATGGGATTGTGATGTACAATAAAAGCAGTAAGAGAAGTGTATTTATCGACACATTCTTTTAGCATATCTCCAGTTGTGTCCAGGACTGCAAACAGACGAGGTGAGCATTTTTGATAATTATTTCTATTCGATCCAGTTTCTTGTACAATCGAAAGATAAATAGTTTCGTGTAGAGGTCTTAAAGACATAGTATACTTTCTAATACATTTGATCTATTAGTGTGTTTTTTGTATTAAAGTGTGAGCTATGTCTACCTTATATTAATTATTCACATTTTAGTTAATTTTAAAATATAAATCAAGAAAAAAATCTAAAATATAAAGCAAGAAAATGATGAACTAATCACGTGATAACCTTTGACACGTGACCGACTGTGTCGACAGACATAACAACTGGTTGTTTAGAGGTATACATTTTTTATATGCAGGTCCACGATGAAGGTAGCTACCATAAGCCTGTTGTCTATTGTGTGCCTTCTGGGAGCATTCCTTGGTATCGAAGCGAACGGTTATGGCGGTGGCTATTCGTACGTTCCCGTTAGTCCAGGTTACAATGGCGGTGGCGGTGGCGGGTTCGGCAATGGAGGATTCCGTATGTAATATTGTATCGTCCTTTACTCTTTGTTTAAAAATGCAGTATCTTCTTGTTGTTACAAATTCTTAAAATTTAGATGAACTTAAATCTACACTTGTTTATGTTTCAATTTCTTAATTTAAATGAATTTAAACAATGCGGTATATTATGTATACATTATTTCGTTTTCTTTCTAAATGTATTGTTATTTAAATTTAAACGTTGATTCGAGGTAGGCGTAATTTGTTTTAAACGGTATTACAAGAACCCGTTATTTAAAACATCATCAAATGTATGAATGGAAGTTCAAGCCAATAAACTGTAACTTTTAGGTTTGTCTATTTGCGCTTTAGAAAGGGTAAAAATGTATCCCGTGTCTCCTAAAGTCGAAACCAGTAGAATATGTTTACAATATTTTACGTAGTAATTTACATTTTCCTATGTGTCCTGGCACCCTTAAAACAATTCACAATAATTATTCCTATTCGTGCATGGCCTTTAAAAAATGAAACTAAGATTCGTACGATATTGCGGCTGGTGGGAAACATTTTGTCCGAAATTTGGCTTGGTCAAAGCGTGTTCATTTAGAGTCTGAAAAATTTGAACTGTTCGCCCAAGTTCCGTGATATAAGACTTCTTAATTTGTCATTTGACAACGCTGTCACTCGCATCAAACACTTGTTTGCCTTCTGTTACAGTTGCTCTGATTGGCTTCCTGTTCATATTTTTGCTGTTGTTTAGCGGGAATGGATTTTTCAATTCAAGCACATCCAGTCAAGTCAGTATCATACAAGGATAGAAAAACGGTACAAATTTTGAAAAGCAAGGTTAATACACTCGTTATATCATCGCCTTCTTTCTTACAGTGGCATTAATTGGGGGCCTTTTCATCATATTACTGCTGTTTAGTGGCGGATTGACTAACACTACTTCCGGTCCGAATTTTGAGTTTATCCAGGGACGCTAGTTAACATTGGGAACGCTGAAAAAAGAAGGTTAAAATGAAAATTAATTTGAATGTCCTTATTGTTACAGTGGCATTGATTGGGTTCCTGTTCATATTCATGTTGTTGTTTAGCGGCAACGGTTTTAATAGATCAACATCACTGGCAGACAACCGAATATTAATCCAGGGATAATAGGTAGATACTCTTACATCCAAGGGACTATTTTTTTTTTCAAAATTGCCCTTACCAATCTAAGACTGGCTTGAGTAGATATGCAAAGGTTTCGTGCCGTATATAAGTGCATGTGAAACTTAAGCGTGCTATATGAGTGAGTGAATCTCTTTAAGTACAACTAACAATTTTTCATTTATGTAATTTCAGTGGCATTGATTGGTGGTCTGTTTCTGATAATGATACTGTTTTTCAACAATTCATCTACCCAAAACAATACCTACGGTCTCAAAGTGGGCGCTACGTAGATCTGAAAAAGGTTTATATACACATATTCTACTTTTGTTCCAAAAAAAATACTTTCATTAACAACCCATTTAGCAGAAACAGTAACTGAAGAAAATGTAAATCATTAATCACTGCCACTGAAATCTATTCTTTAATATTTAGTCAAGCTAAGCAGAAGGTCTTATATTTAATGCCACTGTTCAATATTTGACATTTTTATTATTAATTGTTGAATATCTTTCTTTTATAAATTTCTTTCTTATATTATGTCTTCTATATATTAAATATAAACAAATAACAGTGTCTGTTTTTTAAAAAAGAAAAAGATCTTTTTTAAATTGTAAAATAATTTACGCTTTCCTTTAAGTTTATTTTTTTTTTAAATAAAATTTTCATGTTTTATAATGTAATATTTAGTTATATTTACTATGATTTATATTGTTATTGTATGATATTTGCAGATGTTTAACATTGCCACACGACACGAGAACGCAACAAATATCATCATCACTAGCTGAGGGGACGCTTCCATATTTCTTGTACAGCTTTTCTTTTATTTTGAAATAAATGTTATTTCTGTTGAATTTCTTGTTTCTTGTCAATCATAGATTGAAAGATTATTAGTATATTAATGGCATATTCATATTTAAAAGAATGGTTCGAACATACGATATAATTAAATTACATGAAAACCATCTAAAAGAATCATCATAACAAATATACATGTACTGAACAAAAAGGAAGGGAAGAACTTATCCTTGTGTTTTGCTTTGTCCTGCTGAATGATTTAACTTTATTTAATCATTAAAGATATCTTATGGTGGCATATTTCTGCCACCAGATAACCTGATAACTAACTAGTTGATTAAGAGGGTAACTAGTTACGTAACTAGTTAGCCTGATACCTAACTAGTTAATTAAGAGGTTAACTAGTTACGTAACTAGTTAACCTCTTAATTAACTAGTTGGTTATCTGGTGGCAGAAATATGCCACCATATTATTATATCTCGCTCAAGTTTGTGTTGATAAAATAATGTCCAAATTTAAAAAAAGATTGTCTTTTATATTAATGTGAATTATTTTGAATCAAATTCCATAAATATGTACCTTTGAATGGTATGTTAACAAAGAACAATGACCCCCCCCCCCCACCCAAATAAAAAAAACAAAAAACAACACCAACAAAAAAAAGAAGATAAAAGAAGACCCTCAAAAGCAACAACAACAAACAAATCGATCGGAGCTGAAGAGAGACAATTACATTGTTTCTGAAACATGTTCATGTATTTATCAGTTCAGACATTCTTCCTCAATCTTGTAAAATTGTTGAACCTGTACAAATAAATTTGCATTACCCCTGACCCTTGTATAATTGTAAAGGATTGTATTTCATCTGGACCATTTAAAATTGTATATATACACAGGTGAGACAAATTTGCATCACCTTTGGACTTTGTACAACTGTAAGCATCATCAACAAAATGGCATTCTTCCAGAATACAACAGAAAAGATGATTTGAGCCGCGTCACGACAAAACCAACGTAATGCGTTTGCAAAAAGCATGGATCCAGACCAGCCTGCGCATCAGCGCAGTCTGATCAGGATCCATGCTGTTCGCTTACCAACCCTTTTACAAGTCGAGAAACTGATAGTGAACAGCATGGATCCTGATCAGACTGCGCGGATGCGCAAGCTGGTCTGGATCCATGCTGGTCGCAAATGCACTATGTTGGTTTTGTCATGGCACGGCTCATTTAGTTCTTCAACTTCACCATTAAAAAACAGAATAAGCGAAGAAAAACCAAAAAACTTTCTCTTCTGAACCATGTGCAAATGTTAAAATTAGCACAGATGCATTTGCCTCTAAACAATAAACAATATTGGGGTTTTAAATACCTTTAACAAAATCAGCACTGACATGCATCTGAAACGTTTTCAGTTAAAGAGTCATCAAATACAAGTTTTAATTGCTTCTTACAGACGAAATTGCATTAAGCAATTAATGTATATAAAAAAAGTACAGACAAAAGAGTATCAGTATAAAAGAATTGCCTCTGTACTATGTACAATAATAAACTTGATACAAGCAAATTTCCATAGCCTCTGAACTACATAGGCGAAAATATAATAAATACAAAGTATGACCTTTGGTCTATATACAAATATAAAATTGATGAAGACCAATTTGCATTTTACTTTCTGGACAATATATCAACTTTAAAATTGGCATAGATAAATTTGAATTGCACCTCAACAATGTTTTTAATAAAAATGGTTAATTTGAAACATATTTACAAAAAAAGTAAATCTGATATGAAATCTCACGCATTTATTTATTATACAGAACATTAGAACTCTTTTATACGTATAAATGTACAAAAAACAGCAGAATGTTAAGAAAACACATTAAAAAAAAATAAGTGTTCATTGTCAGATTTTTTCCTTTTTTGCCTATAGAAATTATAGAAAACAACATGGACCGGTTATGTAAAGAATCTTTTTGGATTCATAAATTAAATACTATGATTCCAAATGGACTAAATAGTATAATATTGTTTGATTTATAATGCGTTACATGAATATTAATATGTTTGTCTATTATCTTATTTTTATTAACACTGTCTAATAGACATCTGTATCACTGTTGATCCATTTTAATTCATGTACAAGCTTTATCTATAGCATAAATATTTGTTTCTACATGATATCATAGTTTTGCCGCTAAACGCCATAACGTTTTTCGCGCGTTTAACGCGTGTTCCGTTATGACGTCGCTTCCGGTAATTTTATTATGTTTGCACTGATGAAGGCATATAGCCGAAACGTATGCAATAAAATTTAATTACTGAATGTTCGTGTTTGTGTGGCTTGTCTGTTTATAAGAAAACACACAGGAATTTGTAAGTGGGACAATCTCCAACATAAACAACCATATACATTTTCTCAGAAATGGTATTCTTGAAGTTGTTCCAATATCGCAAATGAACATACGGAATGTGTACAAAATAAGTGTTTACAGATAAACCTATTACAAAACCTGTAACATGCCACATGCCAGGTATTCACTAGTATTGTCAATTTAGTATGTTTAACAACAGTATTTTAAAAACAAAATCGGTAGAAACTTAACAAGAATTCTTAATATCATTATCATCCTCGGCATAATTTTAATTAATTCACTATAAATAATGTGTTATTGGTGATTAATGACTAATGAGGCGAGCAATTAGTCATGTAATGGCCCACCAAGATAAATATGATGTTATAAAATATTGTGATACATTACTGGACAAATATTTGCTAACCGACCAATATGATGAAGATTATAATGAAACAAGTTTTTCTTAAGCTCAGTAATAAGTTTACTTGATAAAAAACTTTGCGATTCCCTATTCATGACTATATGTGCGTGTAAAGCTTCTGAAATTCTGCCACGTTTTAATTATTTACGAAGCATTGAACATGATTCTTATAATTTTGAAGACAATATCATCTTAGGGATGTAAGAAAGATGTATCACAAACAGTAACACTTTTTCTCTAAATTAGTTTCCCGACGTGAATTCCTCATTTTAGTCGGTAACTTTCCTGAATGTTAAGCTTCCTTAAAGTCAACGAATTTGTTTATTGTATAATTATTATTTATTTCAAACACGTCTTAGGAATTATGGAAATAAAAAAGAAAGTTTTTTTCATTCTGATAATAATACTGTCAAGTAACATGAAAATGTGTTTATACGGAGCACCGCCGGCGGAAAGGGGTATAATAAACAAAGACTTAACAGGTCAGGATTTGATCAAAATGGGAAAGTCGTTAAATAAGCCGCTACTGGTACTTCTTGGAGCAACATTTGTTAAAATGGAGCAGAACATAAATAAACTTGATGACAAGTTAACAATGGAGCTTTGTGAAGAGACCCGATGTGCTTCGTGGTCGGAATGGACACAGTGCTCCGCAAATAAGCCTAGTAACTTTGGTGCTAGAACACGCTCGAGAAACTGTGGAGGTAGCTCGTCCATTTGTTCAACGGTGTCATCTGAAACAGTTGAAACAGACAATCAGATATGTCAAGGAAAATGTCCTCACACATTAACAGCTAACAAATACTGCATTAAGTTGTATAAGAATGTCGCAAAGACGCAGAAAGATGCCCAAACAGATTGTCACAAAGATGGTGGATATCTGATGAACCTTGACAGCGAAATGAAAGTAAAAGACGTTAATGAATATTTCACGAATATTTCACTTTCCTCTGATGTGTGGATTGACGGTACAAGGACATTACCAAATGGTGATTGGAAATACGAGTACGGTTCAACTGATACTAGCTTTTCTCTGTGGTATGGAAGTGAACCAGGAAGTACTGATGACTGCAAAGTGTACAGAGATAGTAGTAAAAAGTGGTACGGTAGACCTTGTAAAGATACTCACTATACTCTTTGTGAAATACTCTAACAAAACATCAGACCATGTAAAACAAATAGCAATGAAGTTATTATTCATTAAAACATAGTGATATAGAAATATGCAAAATTAGAAGAACAGTTATAAAAAAGTGTTTTGTTGTTTAAACGGAAAACTATTTTATTTTTCTGTGAAGACAGATTTTGAAAAAAACTATCGTAATGTTGAAACTAACTGATTAAATTTTGGGTATTTATTGTTTTTGTTAGAAAATACAAAAAAAAAAAAACAACCCCAAAACATTTCCAGCAATACAGACTGAAATATTATATTAGCATAAGTAACACAATGTTTCTTGTGTCAAACAGAGGTCACTTCTCCGCCACGATATAGATAAATATATACACTGTACGGACTTTATTTTCAATAGTGTTCAGGAAATTATTATCTTTTTAATTATGCATCTAAGGATAATTAATAGTTTCTTGTTTTAATGTCACCTGATAATATTCAGTATCTTTTGCAAGTGTCCGTAATTTAACCCTGATAAAATAACGACAACCTTTTCTAAAAGAAAAGAAGTTATACTTTATCAAAATTTATTTGTACATATTTTTAGATCTTACTAGTAATAAACATATATACAGTATGTGTTTCTTTATTTGATATTGTTAATGTCCTGTTTAACAACACTTTTATAAAAATGTGTTGTTTTTTTCGTGTTGTTTTTTTCGGGCACTGATAAAAACCCATTTAGATTGTTCCTTTTCTACAAATACATTGAATGTACAATTCTAAAATGCCGAAATTGTTGTCATATGTTTCTCTTTTCCCAACAGATGGTACCGATTTCCTTAATAGAGGACGAATAATGTATAAAAACGATATGCTTGTATTAGAAAAGGGTCACTGGCACGAGAAGCCATAAACAACAACAAAACGAAAGGAACAATATAATACAAACTCCAAGAACCACGGGTCAGACACCTGTTAACTGTTAATTATTACTGAATTGGTACAGACAGATATGCATTACTTCTAAACAATATACAAATATAGAATAAGCACAGAATTGTATTGCCTCTTAACCATATACAGTTGCAGAATTAATACAAATAGAATAGCATTGCTTCTAAACCATAGGCAATTATAGAATTAGTAGAAACATGAAATTTTAC